TAGCCGTTAACTCTTTTTCAAACACTTTTCTGGCTGGCTTGAATTTTCCGTGTTAATGATATGCAAACAAACACACAAAAAGCAAAGCTCCCAGTGAAAAGTCAGAGCCAGAGAAAAAACAGAACCCGGCATTGGAAAAAAAAACTAGACAGGAAATACGCGCCATATACAAAAACAAAGTGGAGAGAGAAAAAAATAATAAAATACATGGATCCAGAGAGGAAGCTAAAGAAATCAACAGAATATTTTTCGCGCGATTTGCGTCAATGAAATGTAAAGGCAAAAAAAGGGGGGCAGGGGGGAGGGAAATGGGGGAGTAGCCTGAAATCGGGATTGGCACGTCTTCCATGTTATTTTTCGCAATTAAAAACTGAAAAAGGCGGGGCGGGGCGGTTGGCCCCAAAATAAACACAAAAAACGAGGTAAACAAATCAACTGCGAATTATCAAAACGAAGAGTGCGCCACATGACCCCACAAAAGGGCATACGAGAGTGAATTTCCAAATACTCTTCTAAGAGAAACTGAATAAAAGGATAATAATAGCTAATTATCTAAGAAGGAAGGAGCTTACGATTTCCTCAAATGTGGCATTTATCCTTTGAATTGCGCAGAGTACCTTGCATGATTTCTTAAAACGTGGCGTTTTTCCTTTGAATGGGTAATGCCATCGCAGCAAAGGGTATACAAAATATACAACAAAGAGGCCAACCAAATCAGCAACAGTGGGACACACAAAAAGGCCAATAAAAATGAAAACAAAATTGTAAAATCCAATAAAACAACACGGCCAGGCACGGCACGCATATTACAGCGTTCAGCGGAAGAAGAAGAAGATGCGCGTGGGGGAATGCAGAGATACCTCATGTGGGGAAAGAGAGTGCCGCCAGAAAGGGAAAGAGTTATCACGAGAGTGGGAGGGGTGGGAGGAAAAGGAAAAAGGAACAAGATGGGGCTCACCGCATACGGCACACACACACACAAGTTAACCGCAAAATGAAACAAGACCAAGTCGAACATATGAAACACAGCAGAAGCAACAGCAACAAAAACATCAACAGCGCATCAGCAGTACCAACAATGAAATGCGGCAACAACGCATGTTTATTGACATTGCCCATCTCCCTCTGCCACCTTGTACACCCTTCTATCTTCCGCTGGCTCTCTTTCCCTCGTTCACGGGGGCGGGCGAAGGCGGCCAGTGTTGTTGTCTGTCTTTGGGTCGCGACGCTGCCGGCCTATGTGTATCTGTGTGTATGTTGTGTATCTGTGTGTATTTATTAATGAGACAGTGTTCGTCTGTTTGCGATGTTTACCTCACCCAGCCAGCAGACGGCTCACAGCACACACGTTCTCGTACCCGGTCGTAAATGCCGCCTCAGCAGAAACAGAAATCTTCAAGAGACAGAGTCTGCAGGCTGCAGGCAGAGCCGTACCCGTCATACGGGCCAAGAGACCCAACCCGAAGACTCAAGACGAGGTCGCGAGAGTGCCCACCCAGGACACTGGCCACCACAGAGTTGGTTTTAGGCTTAAAGGGGAAGTTTAGTTAGTCATTAACTAACTATTTTAAATACAGATTTTATCCTGTTTTCTTATCAAACTTAAAATTCCATTATTAAACACAAAAATATTACTTCTTTCCTGAAGTAATTAAATTTAAACCATTTCTCATGAAAACCGAATTATTTCTTGGAAATATTTCCATTTTAATACAATCTTTCTCCTTTTAAAATAATTTTTATTAACTCAACGCCTAATTAAAACACATGCTAAAATTTCTTATCAATTACGCTTAATATTAAGTAAACTAGAAAGATAAGAATAACTACCATGTGTACCCTTTCAATGCCATTAACTTTGTGGCCCAGTGTAAAGCAACTTCTTGGCCGGAGTTCGAACCCAGAGGTTTCTGTTTCTTCTTCTTCGATGTTGTCTGCTGCCTACACGCAAACACACACACACACAACCACAAACACAGACAAACAGTTTTTATGCTGGGCCTGCTGCTGGTTTCAGCTTCTTCCTCTTCCTCCTCATTGCGTTTGCTTCATTTACAATTTACAACGCACTCTCTTTACATCGTTCTGCTCTCTTTTCCCCGCTCTTGCTCAATTATGTAGCAAATGTTTTTGCTTCTGATTTATTTGCGGTGAACCCTCGGTTATTATTTTAATTAAATTTATTTTTTATACAAATAATTGTGTAATTGATGGAAATTCGTTGGTTACAGTTATGTAAATTGCACGTGCCAATCTAGATGGTCCTCCCCCAATTACCCTCTCTTCCGTTGGCTCTTTGGCGCTCTCTTTCCATCTGATCTGGCTGGAACCAGCTTAATTAGCAAATGGCGCAGATTACTTGTGGTGGGGATTTTTAATTGAACTTAGATTACGGCAGTAATGCCGTATTTTTCTAGACTACTTGTGAGCTCCTTTGACCTTTGCAAAAATAATAATGTTATCATTGATAACCTTTTGACCCAGCCGTAAAAATAACACCGCAAGTGGGAATTACTGAGAAAAGAAAACATTCCAAGAATTCTTTACTGATTACTGAATATTATTCTCCGTGTATGGAGGTAAAAACAAGGTGCGACGAGAGTAAGGGGGACGGCAAGAGCATGAGCAATCACAAGTGCATTACAACAACAATGTAAATGAAAAGAGACAAATGAGCAAGACAAGCCACACGTGAATAATAATTGTAAACCGCATATGCGGGGAAAGGAGAGGAAGATAGACCCCATCTGAAGGTAAGACAGGGAACAGTGATTGAATGGAAATGGGTGGCAAAGATGGAACCTGGAATGTGAATAGAAATCGTAATTAAAATCCCGACATGGCAAAAACCTATAATAATATCTCCTCTAAACTGCATCACCATCGTGTTTCACAATAAAACAATTTTATCAACCTTTTCTGGAATCAGCTACTGTCATAAATCGAGCATATCATTAAACCGTAAGACCAAGTTCAAGGAAGTGTCGCGTATTTAGGTAGATCCATCGAACTGATCGAATGGTAAAACCCGATACAGCCGAGACCGTATCGGGAGAACCTTATCTCCGTGTCTGTGTCTGGGTGTCTGTCGCCGGCTGCCAATGAATCGAATATTCCAAGAAAACCAAGAAAATAAACACAAACAGCAGGCAGTCGGCAGTCAGGGGCAGTGGCAAGGGCAGGGGAGGGAAATGGATTGAAAGGAGGAGGGCGAAACCGAGTCAAAGGAGGCTCGGCATATAGGGATTGACACCTTTCAGGTGAGGATGCAACGAACCGATATCCCATTCCAGCCAAACATGGCTATAATGCTAATGAAGGCAAAATTTGTAAATGAGTCAAGAGGGGAAGGAAGGGAAGGAAGGCAAGAAGAGTGTGGCACTTGCAACAATCACATTGCTCTCAACATATACATACATAGATATATCGCTATAGAAGTCTGAGTATCTGAGATACATTTTAAGAAAATATTGTTTTTTTATTTTAAATTTTTAATAAAATAATAGATATAGTTTTGTTATCCAGCACTTATTGTTGTATTAATTTCCCTTTATCAACACTTTTCTTAAATGCTTGCTTTATGCCACTTTCCAACACTTTTATTTCGAGTGTTCTCATCAGGGTTCTGAGCACGTTCTGAAATTGTTTTCGGCGACTGGGGGAAGGAACTATAAAGATGGCGAAGCATGGGAGGAAAGTGGGGGTAAAGAGTGGATGGATAACCGCAAAACAGAAGCAGCACCAAGAGCGAATGCCAATTTTGGCCAAAACAAGTGACAAACACCAAAAGCAGGACGGACGATGGACGGAATGGCAAAAACAAGATTATCGAGAGTGGAGGGGGGAGGTGGGGTAAAAGGCCATCGTACTATTTATGGGTGCATGGGTGTGTGTGTGTGTGTAGAAATTTTTCGGGCCAATAAGTCACACACCAGCGAAAGCAAACAAACAAACAAACAGGGAACAGCCGTGAAGGAGACAAAAACACAGTCATCGAAATTGGCAACAGCCGGATGCTTTGGCTGGAGACCATCGGCCGCCGATGGCAAAGATCAACATGGCCAGAAGCTGAAACCCAGCCAGAGATGAGCTCTCGCAGCCCTGGATCTCTAACCTGGCCAGCATTTTCGGCTTCAAGTCTGTTAGCCAAGATACTCTAATTAAAGCCACAAATACCAGAATAAAATAAAACAATTTGGAATACTCGGAGGAAGGTTCTTTCTTTCAATTAACCAGACGATCAATTCCAGATAGAGTGCCTCAGATAGAGGCACTGGCACTGGACTCCGAATTCCGTTCTCTATTTGCGGCGCTGGCGGCACTCATCTCTCATCACTCATCACTAATGGGGTTCAACTGACAACCTCGATGCGAGCTGGACTTGATGACCAATTTCAGATTTGCAGCCTTATTTGAGGAGCCACAGAGCGGCCTTTTGCTATTTCAGAGTGTTTCTACAGTGTGGGGCATGTGGCATGTGGCATGTGTATGTATGGATGTTTATTTTGTTGCCATATTTATGCGTTCGCAATGCAGACGGTTTTAATGTCTAATGTCTACAACAACGGACTGGAACTCTGGAGACATCGACATCGGCACCGACATCGAGCAGCGCCAGCTCTTCATTATCTGGCTGCCACAAATTGCATCGAGTGCAATGCCTTGCATTGATTAGTTTGGAATCACTCCGGAGTCTCGTCTGGCCGAAATTTGTGCAACACAATGAGGCAGCAACAAGACGAGACCGCAAACCGCAAAAACAACTAAGGTGCACGGACTATGAAACTGGGTGAAGGAAGTTTGGGGTTCCTGATTAAATCACAATTCAATTGGTGTGCTTCCCCCAATTGTTGAAGTTGCAGTTGCAGTGGCAGTGGCAGCTGTGTCGATAATGTGGTACGTGAGCCAATAAACCAAAGGGCTGAGGTGTTGCAATTAACGTGTAATGTAACTAAAATAAAAATCGTGTTTAGCATGGAAGCTATCCGTGTGGGACTCACCTGATCGATGGCTTGGATGGAGGCCACCAGAAGACCCATCAGCATGGCGAGGAGCATGAGGTTGCCCGTCGCCAGCGGCAGCGTTAGAGCTGAAGTCTTCTGCTTTGGTTTCATTTTCCGCGTGGCTGTCGAGGTGCTTTCCTGTCGATGGAGTGGCTGCAGTGGCGGCTCTAAATGGCTTCCAGTTTTGTTTATGGATTCTAATGTGGGACTGGGCGGCAGCACATGTAGCTCTTGGCTTTGCATACACACACTCTTGATTCTAGAACTGGTTTCTGCACTGCAAGAATTGAATGAATGAAGGCACACAATATCATCGATTAATATTAGCTGGCACTTTGGAAAACACTTGATCGCCTGCTTGTGGCATTTGAGAACATTTCGAAGTGCGAGGGGTTATCGAAGAGAGTCGGTGAGGGAGAGGGAGAGCGAAACGAGCGGGGGGCAGTAATTAAACATTAAACACTCACTAACTTAATCCAATGCGCGCGCGGCTAAATCAAAGGAAGGGATGTGGGCGAGGGGGGGAAGTAAACAAAACGTTTACGCAGAGAGAACAAAAACTACAACGACAAAAACAAAAGAGAAGAGCGCAACTAAAGGTGTCTGTCTGTGTGTGTGTGAGTGTCTCTTTACATGTGTGTGGGTTGCGCTTGTGTGGGTTGCAATTGGCTGAATGAATTTACTATAAATAAATCAATTCTCCAGCAACGCGGATTTGGAAGTTGCAATATTTAACGTCTCTTCTTTCTTGTTTTTGCTCCCCACATTTGCATTTAAAAAGGCATTCGATTTCTCAATGAGTCCGAATCCGAAAAAAATAAAAAAAACAACCGCCCACCACTACCACCACACTATTCGCTCTCGCTGTCTCCCTGTCCCACACTCTCGTCCGTCTCCGTCGCACACATGCGGCTATGGCGGCTTCTTTATGTGCCTTTTTCTCTTATGCTTCGCCTGCTGCTGCCTCTTCCTCTTCGCGTTGTTTTGGTGCGATTTTTTTTTTGTTAATTTTTGTATATTGCACACCTTTAATATTTTGTATAAAATTTATTCACTTCGGCGCCGCGAATTTCCCGACGCACCGCTGCGTGTGGAAACGGAAAAATTTCTTTACACTCGAGTGGCAAAACAGACACGAAACGAGCAAAATCCCCCAAAAATATGACCGTTCCGTCCGATTGTTGGATTTCGAATAAACTCGGTACAACACAGTGGTAGGTAGTTGCAACTATCGATACAAAATATCGATATCTTTAATTAATTAGTTTATTTAAATTTAATTATTACTTATTTTAATGTTTTGTATAGTAGGACAGACTAATTAAGGTAATTTGATGGAGTTCTATTAGATAGAAGCAAAAAATACCATTAAAATACCGAAAATTAGTGTTGGTCAACACTGCACCTGCTAACCGACTCTGCAGCCCTGTTTTCACGGTAATTTTTAGTCACTTTCCGTTTTACAATGTTTTTTGTCTCGGGATTAACAAATTGGCCAAAAAACTAAAGTAAATAAGGTAATTGGGGGGCTTCCGAGGTGCTAACTTACAGGTACTAAGAGGGCTAGTAATTAAAGTAATTTGCGAGTGTATTGAAAGTCTGGGAAATTAGCAAATCACAAGACTCCAATTTGTTTTTTTTTGTTCGTTTTTTCGTCGTTTTCTTTTTGCGTTTCTTCTGGTTTTCCATTGTTGTGGAAAATTTCGATTTCAAATATGGGGAGCTAATGGGAGCCCTTTTTCCGTGTATTTTTAGCTGAGTGAGCGGCCATGGATTTGGTGGACATTGACCAGGTTCTGGACAACCTGGAACTACGCATCGCTGCCGATGAACAGTTGAGCAGAAGTGCAGCTGCAGCGGCGACAGCGGCAGCTCCAGCCCGTCATTCGGGCGACGGAGCAAGTGCCTCGAATGTGGCCTCCAACGGTGGAGGCGCTGGGGCAGGCACAACAGCGTCCGGAACTGTGGGATCTTCGAGCTCCGGGGGTGGCAAAAGCTTCGTGGGGGTCTCCCAGGTCTTCAACAGCCTGGACGACTACAGAAATAACGTAAAGTCTCTCGAGGTGGATGCCCATCTGCCCAGCTATGATTGGCAGGCAGAACACGAGGACGATCTCAACAAGTTCAGCGAGGAGCGCTCGAAATCCAATAACGACGCCATTGTTTCCTCCTCGGAATCGCTGACCACGTCGTCCTGCTCCACTTTCTCCTCGGGACCATCGCCCGTGAGCAACGGCAGCCACTCGGAGGAGCTATCATCGCCGCCGGAGAATGAACTCCCCAGTGAACAACCCAAAGAGGAGGCGGAAACGGAGGTGATTGAGGATCGGGCTAAGGTCCCCGAGGATCCTTCGAAGGATCCGGAACCCACACAGAATCCAACCAAACAGGAGCCCGAAAGGGAGAATGTGGAAGAACTGGCAGCTGGTCTTTCGTCCATTTCCATTACCAAGTCTGGTACAGAATCGCAGTCCCATTTGGTGGAGGACACCCCGCCATCCTCTATCCAAGGGCAGCAGCTATCGGAGGACAGTTCGCCTAGTAACGAACCCGAAACGGAGATGACCAATGGCTTGGAGATCCCTGCACCGATTGCTGTGAGTTTTGGGTCATTTATGGAAGTACTTGATGACTATCTATTCTATTCCCTCAGAAACACATTGCTCCCGAAGTAACTCCTCAAGAAAAGATCGAACCGCAGCTGGAACTTGAGCCTGAGGCGGAGGATGCAGACCAGCAGGAGCAGCAGCCCCGGCCCAGTCAACCCATCACCTTCTGCTCCACAATGGACGACATCTCGGACACTGAGCTGGACAGCATGTTGCAGGAAATAGATGCCGACGATCCGCAGCCCATGGAGGACCAGGAAATGCCCGAAGAGGAAAAGTCGCCCTCTGCTTCGCCGGTGACAGAGGAGGAGTCGGTGCGCATTCTGTCCGATGAGCAGGAGACCACATCCAACGACCCGATGAACGTGGACAACTTCTCGCAGGCCTCCACCGTTGAGTTCGCGGATCTGAAGCAGCCGGAGGCAACGCCAGTCACCGCTATGGGCGACGACATAGCCTCCAGTTTCAGCAGCACCGAGTCGGACTCGCTGTCGGGCCGGAAGCTGGACGATGACGATGAGGCACGGGGCCAGCCTGGGGAGAGGGAACCCCAAGAAGAAGCCAGCCTGGCCGCTGAAGCACTCGAAACCCAAGAAACACGTCCGCAACGACCTCAAACCCTGGATTTGAACGGTTGCCAGACAAGCCAACTGACTCCCTCCCAGGAGGAGACGCAAGATAACCCCCCAGACGAGTCCCAGCCAGGCGTGGTGCCAGAGCCGGGAGTGGTGCCCGGCGAGGATGACGAGGAGAGCCCCATCTACGAAGCAGTGGGCTACAGTGATCCGCACGCCAACCTGGGGAAGGTGCCGCCCATCTGGGTGCCGGACAACATGGCTGGGCAGTGCATGCAGTGCCAGCAGAAGTTCACGATGATCAAGAGGCGCCACCATTGCCGCGCCTGCGGGAAGGTGTTGTGCTCCGTGTGCTGCTCCCAGAAGTTCCGCCTGGAGTTCGCCAACGAGCCGGAGTCCCGGGTCTGCGTGCAATGCTACATGATTCTGTCGGAGAGACAGGCCACGGGATCCGCGTCGGGAGCAGCTGCTGGATCGGTTCTGCCGCCCACGCCCATGCGATCCCCGAACCCCAACAACCCCATGGAGTACTGCTCCACAATACCGCCTCATCGACAGGTGGCCGCCACGCCCGGTGCCCCACCCCCCAGCGTCATCGTGCCGGTGGGTGTGCTGAAGAAGACCGACGGCAGCTCCTCGAACTCGTCGAGTTCGGACGGGAAGAAGGGCGCCCGGAAGCGCAAGAGTGTCATGTTCAGCGACGGCATAGCGCCCGGCAGCGAACTGGCCAGCACCATGGAGCAGCAGTGGGGCGAGGCCAAGCAGGCGAGGCGGGGTCTGTCGAGGAGCGGTTCCGGGTCGAACCAGAAGCCGCCCACCCCGGCGACCGAAGAGCCACCGCGCAGTATTGATATGGGCACCACCATGGGCCTGGTGGCGCAGCTATTCCGCGGCTCCATACCCCCGAGTGCCGCAGCAGCTACGCTCTCCGCCACCGAGACGCCAAGTGGTAAGGATTAGGCTTATGGATCTGAGTTTGAAGTTAATGTTTTCGTTGCAGCAGCTAGGGCTTCAAGCCAGCCCCAGGCCCAGACGTCGCCGCGTCGCAAGGCGGAACCGGCGCGCAGTCGCAAGCTGCCGCCCAACGCCGACTCCCAGGGCTGCTACCTGCCGCCGGAGGAGAACGGTCTGCCCCCCATTTGTGTGACCCTCAAGGACGGCGAGGTGGACTACAAGGTTGTGCGGAACGATGGCTCGCTCCTCGAGAGACTACAGAACGAGACGCTCAAGTTCATTGTGAAGAACAACTTCTATGTGCTGGTCAAGATTGTGAATAGTAAGATTCTTCCTTGTGGATTCTACCGTAAGATTCTTCCTAACTAGTAATCCCCCCAATCCCACAGTGAGCTGCTGCATGAATCGCTGGGTGTTGAACTTCACAACCTCGGGTCTGCATCACACGGGCAGCGATGAGCTCATCATTCTGCTGGAGATAAAGGCTCCGGGGGCCGGGGACTCGGCTGATAAGGAGGCTGGTGTGCCGCGCGACATATTCCAGCACCTGTACGAGCTGTACGCGGAGGCGGAGAGCGCCCCTTCGAACACCCACGAACTGGATTTCACCAGTCCGCGGAATGCCAACTTTCTGGGCTCGCGGGAGCACGGAGGCTTCATCTTTTTCCGGCCGACGTACCAGTGCCTGCAGGGCGTGATAGTCCCGGACAGCCCCTACCTGGTGGGAGTGCTCATTCACCGGCACGAGGTGCCCTGGGCCAAGGTGCTGCCCCTGCGCCTAATCCTGCGCCTGGGGGCCCAGTACAGGTACTATCCCTGTCCCCTGATCTCGGTGCGGGGCAGGGAGTCGGTCTACGGGGAGATAGCCCAAACTATCATCAACTTCCTGGTGGATTTCCGAAACTATACGTACTCGCTGCCCTCCATTCGAGGACTGTACATCCACATGGAGGACCGGCAGACGACGGTGGTGATACCCAAGTACCGGCATCAGGAGGTGATCAAGGCTATCAACAACGCCAGCGACCACATCCTGGCCTTTGCCGGCAACTTCTCGAAGGTGGCCGACGGGCACCTGGTCTGCATGCAGAACATCAACGACGACCGGTCCGAGATGTACGCCTACTCCACGCAGGCCATCAACATACAGGGCCAGCCCAGGAAGATCACGGGGGCGAGCTTCTTTGTCCTGAACGAAGCCCTCAAGAGCACCAGCGGGCTGTCCGGGAAGTGTAGCATTGTGGAGGACGGCCTGATGGTCCAGATAATGCCGGCCAAGATGGAGGAAGTGCGCACGGCGCTGAGGAACCAGGCGGACATCGACATAGTCTGCGGGCCCATCGACGCCACCGACGACCAGAGTGAGATTGTGAGCATCAAGTGGGTGGACAACAACCGGGACATCAACGTGGGGTAGGAACTGCCTCTATGGTTTCTTACTGGCTTATCTGAGCTCCTCTCATTCCAGAGTCAAGTCGCCCATTGATGACCAACCCATGGACGGCATCTCGAGCATGCGTGTCCATGCCAGCTTTAACTATTCCAATACCAACTACACCATCCGCCTGAGTGACATCTACATGGTGAAGGTGGGTTCTCTCTTGGAAGCCTTTGGAATTTTCTAATAATCTCTGATTCTAGTGCGAGGACTGGTATGCCACGAATGGCGGCAACTACGCGGACATCACCCGGATCGCCGAGCAACTGGCCCGCAGCGCTTCGATGGCCCTGCTGCCGTTCCTCGACCTGCTGGCAGCGGCTGGCATCACCAAGATCGGTCTCAGGGCCACGCTCGACCAGGAGAACGTAAGTGCCTCCTCCACAAAAAAGCGAAAAGACTAAAGTTCCCTCTTTAAAGGTCGGCTATGAGGCCGGGGCCCGGGGCTCCAAGCTGGCGCCGCTGTACATGAACGCCCTGGACAATCACTTGATAGCCACCCTCCACGGCGAGTCGTCGGGCATTCAGGACCCGATCGTCCTCGAGCTGGTCTTCCACATACTGAACGCCTGATCTTAAGCCCTCGTAGTGCAATTCTCCCGCTGGACGTCGAGTTCCAGCGGAATCTCTAGCAACTCTGTGCTCGGAAACGAACAAAGCTGACCAATCCCTGGAACCTGGAATGGGATGTGCGGTGGACTAGATAGTTATGTTGTTGGATGGCCCGTTAACTGTGTATATATTTAAGTAGCTCCTGGTTGGTTTTATTATTTTGTCTCTACATTTCTACGACCTCCTCTCCGCCTCTGTTGCAATCCTTCTCCTTTAATCGATTTGAGTTTTCATTGAAAGTAAAAAGAAAAATACGATCCAAGCCCTAAATATATATTAATATTTGTATGTGATGTTCTTTAATATGCTTTACACATTTACCATTCGAGTATATATACTAATCTGTATATGCTGCTATACTATACTATATATATGAATAACAAACTATATAAAACTGTTGATCGAACTTCGTTTCCTTTTGGAGAAATAATTCCCAATAATGTTAAGTTAGGTGTATTCTTTATTGAACTCCAAAGTTTCCAATTGACTTTGTCGTGTGTTTCTTGTTTTTTATAAAATATGATATGAACGCCAAGCACAAATTAGTCACAACTTGAATATAACAACCTATAAATGTATATAAAAAAGATGTTCATTCTCGCTCAGATTGTATATAATTTAAGCTACGTCTAGAACCGATTTCTAGAACTAGGGACTCCGACTCTGTAGAACCTCGAATGGGTCGAATGTTTCTGGATCTATATACAAAATGACATCGAAACGCATCAGTCGCACTCATCTGATCTTCTATATATTTCTTAGTGTGTATATATTTATTTTTGTGTTTCATATAACTTAAGCACTCGTGTCCCTTCCCGCCAGGCCCTGCCTCGCCAGGAGCCTACAGCTCGTCGTGCTTCGGCCCGGAGAACTCGTCGTGCGAGATGAAGCCGTTCTTGTCCTTGTCCTCGTGCTGGAAGATCTCCTCCACCAGCTTGTCGTTCTCGGCCAGCATGTTCTTCAGCTCGTCCGAGTCCTGGCCCTCGACGGCGGTCATCTGTTTCTTCAGGTATTCGCTGACCTGCAAGGACAATAAGCTTTTAGTCTAATCCTTACGAGGATACTATCTCTAGAGAGGAAGGTATAGCTTTTAGTAGTTTGACCCTTGACCCAACGGATATTTCAGTGAAGAGAGGGAGGAGGAGATATATAACAAAAGTGCGATCCATACATAGACGATTACCTCTTCGCGACTCAGCTGCTTGTCGGCGTTCTCGTCGATCTCCTTGAAGACGTTGGTGGTGGGCGGGGCGTTGCCGATGTTGATCAGCTCCACGTCGAACAGGAGGGTGGCCTTGGGCGGGATCACGTTGCCGGCGCCCTGATCTCCATAGCCCAGCTGGGGGGGAATGGTCAGCTTGCGCTTCTCACCTGGTTCGAGGGCAGAACAAAATCCAATTAGAAGGGTGGACTCTCGTAGTGGACAACTTTGGGGTACTTACCCACGCACATGTTGAGGAGGCCCTGGTCCCAGCCCTTAATCACCTGGCCGGCTCCCAACTGGAATGTGAAGGGCTGGTCGCGGTCGAAGCTGCAAAAAACGGGAAAAAAGATGAACCATGTTGGCCGCAAAGTTTGAAGTGCTTACAGGTGTCGCTGGGGAATCCCCCAAGCCAGCATTCCTCCAACCCACCCACCAGCCACCCCCTTGAAACCCGAACAATTCATCATTTCTTTATGACTCTTCTGTCTTTTTTTTTGCGAGTCTATAAAAATTATTTATTTGATGGCCTTGCTAAGCGAATTTACTTTAATTTTTTAAGCGGAAAGGAGGATCCCGTCTCCGGAGACAGGAAGGAGGAGGCCTGCTCAGGTATGCATGAGAATGTCGCGCCTTGAGCTTGATGTATGATGTGGCACAGTTGCAGGCTGAATTAGGCATTTGATGATGATTATGATATATAGGATTCGCAGCAGCCCCGGGGGGTGGCACGGGTTGGGGGCGGGTCCAAAATAAAAACATAAACACATTGTAAAGTGGGTTTTATGGGTCATCATTGCCAGGCTTTGTTCTATAGAGTGCTTTTCATGGAATTTTAAATCAAGGGGCGGATATTTCACCAATAAATGTTATAACTTATAAGATAACATTGTAAAGATATAAAAGATTAATACAGTTTTTAAGTGGGTTCTTGTTTTTTAACAAAAATATTTCTATTAAAACCTTAAGTTAATAAGGCCCCTAATCCTCTGTTTAAAGTCCTTAATATAGCCCTAGTTCCCGCCAGTTCTTAAGGGCTAAAGTACCTTAAACTTCGATCCCGCCCTACGGACCTCCAGAGATCCCAACTTGGCAATTGAAATGTGTCGCCTGGGCCTGCTCCTGACTGCCGGAAAAGTTTCCCTTCTCTCGTCATTATATTATTATTGTTGTTTCTTGAGAAAGTTGCTTTTTTAAGCGGTGCGGGGCCAATGTTTCTTTAAACTTTGCTAGGCCTGGCTGGCGGGGATCTGGAGAGACAGATTGTTGCACTTGTAGGAGCGGAAGGGCAAACAAATGATTAACAAGACCCCACCCAGACCCCACCGAGGGCTGGGGGGAAAGTTCTGCTCCCCAGCTAGTCGAGTGCCAGCGGCCCCTGTCTGTTAAATATTTTATGCGCATCTCCTGGGCATTTTGCAAACATTTCTACATTTTTACATGCGCTGCCTGTTGTTTCAAATTCCTGTTTCGAGTTTGGAGTCCCGGGCTCATGACGATGATGATGGGGCAAGTGGCAATGCGCGGTGGCACAAGTGGCATGCGGATTGCCGCTGAATAATCCACCCAACCGATGTGGTCTCCAGCAGAAAAAAAGGGAAATAGATGGCGGTTAAGTGTGGCTCCGGAGCGGAACCAAAGTGTCGTCGTCTCCGCCGCCAAGACCGCCTCGCCCACCGCCGACACGGCTGGCTTTCGCTCAAGTGCAAATCTCCTGATGAAATAAAAAAGCGTACAAAATTTGTATCTTCCTGTATCGTCATCCCCATGTGTGTGTTCCGGGGATTACTCGCCAAATCCAAGACACCTTGGGCTTCTTGTCTTTGTCTCTGGCTGTGGCGCTGGCTCTGAATTTTTATTATTGCATTATTTTCCATGAATATCTAGTAATCGTACTCGTATGCGAAACATTTTATAGATCTATGTGGCAGCCTTTATCCCTCAAGTACTTTGCTCCTCAAACCCGCTAATTTATGCGATTCTGGGTCTTAAGGGAAGAAACCTGGCCTACCTTTCTTTCCAATTAAAGCCTTACCCGTTTAATCCCCAGAACTTTAATCGAGAACCGTTTAAAAACGTATCATAAATAAATTAATAAATCGTTTAAACGTGTTGATTGTTTCAGTCAGCAGCAGCCCCACTCCCGACCCACTCCAGACCCATCCCAGACCCACTCCAGACCCGGACTTCCGTGTTCTCCGTGTCCTGTTTGTCCCACCAAGGTGTTCAAATATTTACGAATTACCGAGAAGCTCAAACAAAAGGTCAGCTGGCAGCCGAGGTGATACCTGAATCCACTCGCAGGTGGACAAACAAGCTACCGGTGCAGTCGGTTATGCAATTCTGTTTTTACCAAAAAGTCAAACAGAAAACGCAGATATTTTGCAACGCGTCTTGCGGGCGATTTGCAAGCGGTTTTTCCAGCCTAGTCCCCGGAGAGGTGGCTGGAGCACACATTCTGGCTTTTTTGGGAACTTTTATGGCCAGCACATTATCATAAAGTCGAGCGAGAAATGTAAACTCATTCATCCACTCCCTAAATATTTAATAAGTTTCGATTTCATTCTTCCACTGGTGCCTGCTACTCTTTTTTTTCCCATTTTTTGCTGTTTATTTTGTATCTGAATCCCGATTCGAATCTGTATCTGTATCTGCGAATTGCGAGCCAGGTCCCAACGCATCGCAAAATTTAAAATGCAACTGAATGGGCGCCCAAACATCCGTTTGCCATCCTACGTGATTCCGCACCACGGGTGGTGGGCGGTGGATGGTGGGTGGTGTCCTGGACGGGGGGTTGCGCCACCCAAAATCATACCACGTCACTGGACGACTTCAGACACATTCAATCCAATCAAATTGAATCCTTTTGGGCCCCCTTGATGACCTCGTTTTATGTGTCCGGCCAAGAAAAGTTATAAAATCAAATATGCAACCACAATTCCTACACCTTGCAGGGTATCCACCACCCCTTTTGGGGCGACAAGTTGCGATTAACGTGCACCACCAAGGACAAGCACTCCGGCAGGACCTCCGCCCGGCGGACTGGTCTGGTCAACGTGCGAACAATTCACACAAAAAGTCAAAACTTTGAACAACTTTACAGGCCTACACTGCAGGAAATCAAGTTCCTTGATTCAAGTTTAAGATATTTTAATTATTTTATTTAGTTTTTAACTAAAAAGTATCTTAATAAAGTATCTCAATCCTCCCTTAAATCATTTTTTAAATCAAAAAACCCTTTTAAAATTCCCCCAGTGCCTAGACAAGTACCCTGCAGGACTCGCAAATTTATGCCCCAGCTGACGGCATCACGTTCCGACTCCCAAAAAATGGAGAAAAAATAAAAAGTGCAACCGTTGAAGCTCATTAATTATTTAAACTATCTACAAATGTGTCTGCCTCGAAGACTTGGAGACTCGGAGATGTATATTCGAGGCAAGAGCTGCCATAAAAGTCAGACGGCTGTTGCAGCAGCGGCAGTTGATTGCTTCCACATGGTAATGAGCTTTAGATTTAGTGGCCAACTCCACGGCCCGCACTTTGTTGCACTTCATAAATGTTGTTGTTATTGTTGTTTTTGTGTTGCAGCCAATGGTGTCAAGGTTCGAGCCATTCAAGCAGAGCTTAAGGCTTCCAGACCACCGGACCACCAGACCCCTTTGTCCCCCAATTCAAGGTTGTCGTTGCAACTTTCACTTTGATGCAACTCCATGTTGCTGCTTCTGTTTTCTTTTTGTTTTTTAAACGCACTTTGCTTTTGGACATTAAATGGCAGTTGTTGGGGCAGGGAAAGGGGGTGGCCGGGAGCTGCCACTTGGCGCTCACAAATCATGACAGCCGAAAAGCGACAACATTGCGAGTTATGGCCCGATGCTTCCAGGTAGCGGCAGGTACCTTCAGGTAACTGACTTCTCATCTTTTTGTTGAAATTTTTTAAAAATAGTTTCACTGAGAGAAAGAAAGGGGTGCTTTCTATTAAAAATAATACTAATAAATCAATTAAAACAATGCTCTAACAGGTTCTCCATTTGGCTTTGTCTGGAGGAGACTTTCTCCCAACAATTTACATATCGCTTTTAATTGTCGCACAAAGGTGTGAAGTGGCCTGGAAGACCAAATATGGATAATTTTGAAAGGGTCTTTATATGGAACTGAAGACCTTTCTTCAGGTTTCTTCTCTTGAAACTTTAACCAGTCGAGTCACCTTTTTTTTGGGAGATACTGGAAACTAAAGTAACAAATTAATTTCACCCAGCGAGTGACACCACCATGTTGCACACCCGAGAAGCTCCATATATCATAGGAGGTAAGAGGTGAGAGGTGAGAGGTTGGAGCACCACCACCAGTAGCTCCACCAGCGGGAGTGTCTTCGTGTTACGCGTCAACCTGATTAGAATATAGCGGCCCGGGACTAAATAATTTATGCCGCCGAATGGAGGTCTGCGGGTCAAAAGTAGAGCTCAACTTGTTGCCACCAGAAACCGAAGGTGAGGGGAGGCTCCAGCCATTGACAAACTGTGGCAGCACGTGACTTGGCCATGGCTATGACAGGTAGACTTGATGGACTCCACTCCGGCTCGGAGACAATGAAAATAAAAGCCAACTGGCACGTGACAGAACTCATCCAGCGCTCATCCTTTTCATTATTGAATTAGTTATGATGAGTTGGAGAGGAGAAATAATTTTAATTGTCCGAATCGTAAAGGACTCGACTCATTGCCCTTTTTCGGGTCTCCTCGAATGAGTTGTAATCCTTTTTAATAACAATTAAGCACGTATGCAATTGGAGGCTCTTTTACGGCTGTGTGCTTAGGACAGTTTCCACTTTGATTGGCATTTCAATGGGCGACTCATCGGCAGGACCTGTCTGCTGCACGAAAGTATCCTTTTTGCCGTCTATCTGCCTCTTCAAAGGCAGCCGATTACTCAGGTCCTTGGCTCTCTATTTTTTGCTGGGAAAAGCTTAATTATCCTGGAGGTGGAGTCTGCTTTCAGCCAGCTAATTTCCGCTGCAACCATATGGCCTTAAGACCAACTCAGCTTCGGGCCAGAAACGGCTTGAAAGATATGGCTTTTTAGCATAAAGCAGGTTGAGGGTTGAGGTGGAGGAGCTGTCGACATCCTTGACTGCACTTGACTGGCAAAGTGCCTTGTTTGTTGGCCCGAAGTTCGAGGGCATTTAAGCCGCAGCAACAGGTGGTAAGCCAGCAGCCAAAGGACGCACTCTGATTGAGTTAGTTAGTTGGCCAGCCCGAGACTTTGCTTCGCTAAATTTAACAGCAATTGCGAAACTTTTTAACCAGGACCTGGACCAGGACGAGGTCTCTGGGAGACACAACTTTCACATAATTTGCCACTCGGTGTGCAACCAAAAATTGTCTACTAGACAAGTCAGCCCGAAAAAGGACAAATTTGTGCTTCGCAGACATGCTTTCCAAGGACATGGAGTGAGTGACAGGTGAGTGGAGTGTTCTTGCTTCAGTTTAGCATAAAAGAAGGATTATAAAATCATTTCCTGTATGTGAAACACAATTTTCTGGCCATAAAATTAAATCAGAATTTGGTAGAGCAGATAGCACGACTGAGAGACTGTCAAAAATGGGTTTTTGGTTATTTATTTATGAGAGATAAGCTAAATCTAGGTTCGGTTATCAACTCCTGATAGGGAACCAATTTCAGGAGATTACACGGCCTTCGAACTGTAGTAGCCCCTTCAGCAGAGCTTCAATAATGAGCTGGAAGTTATTACTTTTAATATTTTACTTAACTAAATGAAAGCCTCTGCCATTAACCTTGCCCCCGGGCTAGCTCACTGATTTCTTCCCAAAAATAAAGCCATAAACCCAGAGAGCCACGTCACTTCCCATATATGTTAGGTCTGAAAAGCGAAACAAAAAGCTTGAAAAATCAGCTGGGGTTTTGGGGTGGAGTGGCGATAGAAGAAAGGGGGGCTCATTCATGGAAAGTGCAGCTGCAACAATGCAACAATGAGATCGCTTATCAGTTGGCGTCTAATTTACGACAATGAGCCGCCCTGACGACAGACCGCCTGACCGCCTATGCCGTGCAGCACCACCACGGCTTAATCCCCCAACGGATGGAGAATAATCTCCGCGACGAGATTACAGAATGCCCCATCCAAACGCCAGCTTTAAATATATATTTTTTGGGCTCTGAACTCTGGCATTATTACCACAACTGGGGGGGGTTACTCACCTCGAGTCGAACTTCTTGCCATCGGCCTGGAGGGTGCCGGTGTAGTGCATGGTGAGGGAGTCGCCGTTCTTGGACTTCTGATCGCACACCTCCGGGGTGCTGATCACCTCCACCTTCAGGTCCTCGCCGCGGACGAGGCTGCTGCTGGCCACCAGGAGGCACGACAAAACGAGAATGGACTTCAACATGGCTGAAATGAAGAGGATCGGGATGGGAAAACTTGATTACTGGATGACCGAAAAATAAATGAGACTTTCGCAAAAAGGCAGAACGTGTTTCCACACTAGTCAGCAGGGTAGGGCTTCTTTTCAGATTTAAGATGGGGAATTTGAGGGGTTTTAGACCCTTACTTATAAACTTACTAATAATACTAAGACTTTGTTAGAGCTAGTTTAGTTTAAACCGGTATATATCCCTAAAATCGGAGCCCATTTTATGAAGAACCTTTAATTAATGTTCATAGATCCAAGAGATATGGTTTAAAACCCCTACTTTACCCTTAAGCTTATTCCGATTATACCTTTTACCAACTCGAAACTAAACCAAGTCACCAATGTGGCCTCCGCTGGAGGTGATCGTGTTTTATATCGCCAGGCACGTCTATGATGAACCATCCACCTGCTCCCCATCATCATCACCTTCTCCGGCTTAATCATCGGTTGCACAAGCCTTAAGTGTTAAAATCGAATAAACCAATTACCCGGAAAGGTATAACATCTTTTTGTTGTTTTTTTTTTCTGTTTTTTTTGCTCAACAGTGTAAAGTTGAAATTGAAAATTGAAAGAGGGGCGCCTCCGATTGCGATTGCGAATGGGATGCGAACAGCAGAAATTAGTCATTATGCAAATGTGCAATTCATTGCAGAGCAGGTAGGGGAGAGGAGGGGGTAGGGAGCTTGGTTTTGACCAACCGGCCAGCTTTGACCATCCGACGAGCAGCTGGGGAGGGGATTATGCAAGCCAGAGCCGAAAATTATTGCGCGTTTTATGGCCTCGTACACGGTGGCGTATGCGTAATGTCCAGCGGGGTAAATTCCAATTGGACGGATGGTTGGATGGCTGGATGGTGGGTGCCCAGTGGAGGCCTCTTCGAATGAAAGTTTTGACTGAAAGCGGTACGCGTAGGTCGGCCCACACAAATAGATACAAATAGATATGATTTTGCAAAAAAAATTCCAAAAAAGGCACTCTCGAAAAATACAAAAAATAAAATATAAAGAGCCACTATGTAGGGGAGAAACTTTCACTAATGGAAAGGCAATGGTCAAGCCTCAATTACGTGGAATCGGCATTAACATTTCTCGATCTTCAAAGGAGACTGCTCCGTTTCTGGTTCACCTGCACTGAGAGAAACTTTTACTGAAAATCTCTGAAAACTGGAGAATACATCTTCGATCTTAGGGTGACCCAATTTCTTCCTGTGTGCTCTCTTTGGACTTCTTCAGTCCCCAAAAAACCTGTTGGGGGCGAGCTGATTCTTCTTTTTCACCTGTGCTTTCTTCTTCTTTATAAAATGCGATCTTTTTTTTATGAAGAGTGAAGAGTTCAGTGAACCGGCAGTGGTGGGGAGTTTACCGTTTTTCTGTCTTCGAAACCCGAACAGTTCCAATTGACAGATCCACGCTAAACGCTTCGGAAAATCTTCCCCCCAAAACAACACGTCATGGGTTTTTCTTTTCTTTCCGTTCCGTTCGCTTTTCCAAAAATGCTAATTGTTGTACTGATCGTGATTAGAGGAAAGCAACAACAGCAACAACTCGCTGTTGGAAACTTGGAAACCGCCCGGCAACATTATTTACGACTTTTCGAAGCGATAAGCTCTGGGTCATCTCTTTCTTGTACACACACATGCAGTGACTACTACTACCCGGACCTCTCTCTCGCTCCTTGGGGCCTACCAGCGGGGGGACCTGTGTGTGCGTGGACTGAATATGAATGGAAGAGACACGACAGCAGTGGCAAAGTACACGCTTTCTTCGATTTCTCAAAGCCGAATTCGTTTCTTAATGAGCACACTTTTTTATATTATTTTCTTGTTTTTAATATTTACGCTAAGCCAGGCAGGCAAACAGCCGTGTGTTGCTATACCTTTTGATTCCACAGATATCACTCGTGGGGGGTGGGTGGATATGCGGATGCGATGGATCGGCAAGAGGAAGACGACGACGAACAACAACAACACGCGATCACGGTAGGAGAGAGACACGTCTGCTTCGATCGAAGTGCGAAAGAGAAATGCGGCCCCAACGCCGCTATCGCCGCCGTTTTCTAGCTTGGGGAATGCGGGTCTTCGGGGGAGAAAGAGACTGCTGGCTGGAGAGCGCGAGCACATCGAGCACTTTGCAACACTGTTTTCACAGATTGGCAGCATTTTTCAAAATGGGGATTTAATCTTTTAAAATTTTAATTATTTTAAATTAAAAGTAATATTACTTATGATTTGGCATTGATTATTAAAGAAAAATTAAACAAATAAAAGAAAAATCTAAACCAATCGAGAGTAGTAAGATTAAAAGTATAAACTTTCACGATCAGTTTCAGAGTTTCAATTATTTCAAATATTTTTAGTTTTATGAAAATGTAACTAGTTTTAAACACTTACAGGTGAAATGAAGTAACTAACTTATTTCAGAAAACCAACTTCTTTACTTCTATAAGCAGGTTTTAGAAAAAATCCCAACCAAAAACCGAAGGATGCGAAACATATACGGAAACCAGAAGACGCGCAACCTGTTCGAATGGCTTTTCCAAGACAACTGAATGGAGTCTGTGGAAAAGGACACCGAGTCCTCTTGAAACTTGCAGCATGTTGCAGCAACAATTGGAGTCTCATGTTGCTGAAACCTTAAGGTCACGCCCATTATTGCAAAGGCGCAGGCGCTGGGTTTTCTTAGTGGGCGGAGCTTAAGAATTAAAATAATTAAATGATTTTTTATCAATTCCTAATGGTAAAATATATATAATTATTATAGTGTAAATTTTACAAGAAATAAAAATACAAAATTAGACAAAAATTAAATTAAAATAAATTAAATAATTTTTATAAATAGCTGGATCATTTAAACCGATGATATATAAGTTTAATTTCCCAGTATAATTATCAAATAATTGCTGGTCAAAAATTCTGAGATAAAACTCAGACCATATACTATGCATGGTCCAAGTAGGGGCACTCCCATGGAATCTGTCACCCTTGGGTCATTTTACGCCCCACTGGGCAGCCAGCAATAGGCGATAGAACGAATCAATTAAACAAAATTCATTGAAAATCAGTCGAAATCAGTGGCACTCTCAAATCGGTCGTGTGGTGATCTACGAAAACTGTCAAAAATGGTCAACGAAGTGCAGAACAAGACCCCCCTGGGGGGGAATCGATCCCTAGGATACGCCTTGAAGCGCCGGAACGATCGATTTGTGGTGGAGCCCATCGGAGGAATCATCAATCCAGCCTACGAGCCCGATCTGGGTGGGGATATATCCGCACTCAGGGAGAACAATACAACCTGGCGAGTATACTATAATAATGGGATTACTTAAGCTCATAGTTAAGCTCAAGGCTGTTCGTAGACTCTGGAAATTAATTAGCAAAGTCCATCAATGTTTATTTTTAAAAAACAAAAAATAATACAAACAATATTCATTATACTTAAGGTAGATAGATTCTAGAACCCCTTGACGTACTTCTTGGGCTTCTTAACTGGCGTCGGATTACTACTATAACCACATTCGATGACTGTGTACTGTCCTGGGAGCAAAGTGGAATGCAGGCGCTTCTTGGCCATCTCAGACAGTTCCTTTTTGGGGCTTATCATCGGGGGGAGGCTCGTGTTCAGGCCGCCCTCCTCTATTTCTTCGTCGGTTACTTTCGTGAACTCCGCTGTGGTGGCAGTGTATACCTTGGGCAGGCTGGTACCTGGAACATTGGGACGACCGTCATCCTCGTCGTGGGGCTTTTCTGGCTTCATGGGCAGCTTGTTCAGCCAGTCAGCCATGCGCGCCTCCGGCTCCTGGCCACTATCCTCCAGGCGCTCTTGAAGCATTTCCCTGCTGACATCCCGCGTGTGATCGAACTCCTCCATGTCCCAGATATCCAGCAGCTGGACGGACAACATGTCCGTGTAGCGGGACAGCTGGTAGGCGGACTTCTGCCAAGGACCGCGACTGATGCCCCTGTCTTTTTGGAAATTCTGTTTTCCGGATTTGTTCTTCTTGGGGGACGCCCCTTTCCTGATGTTCTTCTCCTTTTTTATTTTTTTCTTCTTCTTCTTGAAACTCTCTTTTGAGGATTCGGTCTTGCTGTCCGAATCCTCCGAGTCCGGAATACCATAGTCTATATCTACGTACTCTACAATGGTGGGCTTCTCGTCGACCTCCGGCAGCTTGGCTCCATCTCGCAATATTTCCCTTATCTCGGGAATCGTTTGCACGTCGGTGCATCGCAGTTTCTGACGCTCCACCCGCTCCTGCACCACTTCGCCACAGTATCGAATGGCCTCGGTGGTGTGGAGACCGGTTCGCATCTCCTGAATCAGCTCGTCGTTCTCCCGAAGCGACATTCTTTGGCAGTAGACATCCCCCAAACTATTGGCTGTCAAAAGCTGGGCAAAGGCATCATCGCTGGTCCTCTCCAGGCGGCTGAAGCGCATCCCCGTTGTACAGGCCTTGACGCGCTCGGTCAGATCGGCGTATATGTCCACATAGCCGTTTAATCGGGCCTCCATCAAAGCTTCCTCCAGGGTAGGTGGCTGGTAGGGCAACGCGGGTGAGAACATTTCGTCCACGCTCTCCGCCAGGTATCCCTTCATTTCGCAAATCCTCTGATCGTTCGGTACAAGTCCACTGAGCGCCACGTACTCGCTGCTGTCATGGGCAAAGGTGTCCAGGAAGCAGGGCGGAAAGGTCATCTGATGGGTCCAGGTCACCACTGAGCGATCGGTGAGCTTCTTGCCCAAGCACCTCAGATCCAAACAGTGCAGCTTATGATTGCTGGCCACGTAGAGAAGATTGGGGTTCGCGCTTCTGGCCAAGGAGGAGAAGGTCTCGCAGTTCCTGGAGTGCACGCTGCTGGCGAAGCAGGGATTGATTGGTTTATCACATCTGACGTCGACAGTGAGGAGAACTGGTTGGGTAAGGTAATGAAAGGTGCTGCCGCTAGCCGGGAGTAGTTGGGCCCAAGTACTGGCCGTCTGCTGGAGTCCCTTCAGCAAACACACATCGTGCTTGGCTATATCCTGTTGGGTCTCAATATTCACAAATCTCAAGGAGCGATCCTGAGAAGCTAATGCCAAGGTTTTGGGATCCCCCCAAGACTGAGCGGCACTTATAAATGGAGCCTCGTTGCAGCTGTACTTGCTCTGGCAAACAAGTTCGTAACTAAGCTCCTCATCCTCGGTCTCTTTCTCCTTCAACTCGTAGAGGACTACTTCCTTGAGAAATCGGGTCAGGAGCATGTTTTCGTGGTCATCCTGAAAGCTCTTGAGCGGCAGAATTTGAAAAATTTCACTGGATGCCTCTTCCATGTGCATGGAGAGCTTGGGCGTCCACATTTCCGCTTCGGTTTTCACCTCGGAAAAGTGGAGGTCCCTCAGGTTGGGTCCACTGGCGTGCATGGCCATGCTGCCCAGTTGAAACGGCATGGTGTTGAGGTTACCACCCGTGTAGTAGTAGTCATAGTTGTCCCGGAAATGGGGGTTGTCCTGTCTGGCTATTTGCTCAGCCAAATCGAAGATGCTCTTGTCGTAGACATTCAGACTCTGTTTCTTCTCCCGCTGCTTCATTTTTTTGGTACGCCTCTCGAACCGTGTTCTGGACTTGTGTAGTAGCCGCAGCCAGTCGTAGTGATTCTGCGTTCTCTGGTGGCAGGGCTCTAGGCCCGGCGTGTGTCCATCCTTGGCCACAAACAAGGGAACAGGCACCGTCACCATGCAGTTGGGAAAGACTTGTTCTGCGTGCATGCCCTGGTCCTTCAGCTGCTGGCCCAGCATTCCCAAATTTTCAGACGGGTGCGTAGAATGGCACGTATTGTGCAGTGTCTGGAGGTTGAATTGCAAGTTGTTCTCCGCCGGGTCCTCCTCAAAGTCGCTCCCAGAATCGGAATCATGGTCACTTGTCTTGGAATTCTTCAGGGCACTCAGTTTCGCCACTAAGAGAGATTTCTCAAAGCACCGAGGCATGTCTAAAAAGATGGACACTTTAGTTTGGAGAAAGGTTTAAGTCAGGCTTAAGATACTTTTTGGTTGCCCGATTTGTTAATTTCTATATTTAAAAAACAAAACAAAACAGCATGGGAAGGTGGTTTTTATCGATAACGATGTTTTGTAGTGTTTTCCAACACTGGCATAATTTAGAGAGCATATCGATATTTAAAAAATTGATTTATATCGATGGCCTAAGAACGATAGCACTATCGATAGCTAACCATCAGCTATTCTTGCCAGCCCTGGATTTTAAGAGTCTTCAAAGCAGCTGGAAAAATTGAAGGAAAAATAGGTCCCGGGTCCCGATTACAACGTTACAACGCGAATTAGCGAACTGTGCGGGCGTGTGTTGTGTGTGTGTGCGAGTGCGCGCGAGCAAGAGAAAAGTGAGCGAAAAGCCAAAAGAAACACAAATTACACAAGTTGTAAAGCTGGAAAAAAACGAAGAAATTCGCCAAGAGCCAGTATTGATTTTTCATAGACACAGACACCTCCTTTCGCCGCCGCCGCCGCCGTTGCTGCTCTTCTCCTTCGCTGGCAATTAAAAGACTTTATTTGATAACGGAAAGGAAAGGTGGAAAGCGGCAAGACAGGGGGGCCCAGGCAGTAGTTTTCCACGATAATCCCGACAACTCGACCCACTTCTGCAGGCGAAGAGAAGGAAGAAGGTGAAACAAGAACGGAAAGCGTCAGGTGAGTTTTTACATTCATCCGTGCACACGGTCTACGCACACACACACACACCTATACACCCACACTCACCTCGACACCCAGCAGGCACAATTAACACACATACAGGTGCGAGGCAGACAAGACAACAAAACACAAATGCTAATCAAAAGAGAGGTGTGATTGAAGGGGGAGCAACTTCGTCCTCCCTCTCCGATCATCTCTTTTCGGATGCATTTGTTTTGTTGCTGCCTGCCTCCACTCCTACCCTCTCTTCCACTCTCTCAATCTCTCTCTGTATGTCTCTCTTAAAATCTCTGCGCTCGCCCCCATTACAAAAAAACGCTGCCTCATCCAACTTATCACTTGCATCCCATTCGTATATCCCCCTTACTCCTTTTTGTGTTCTTTATCCGTTTAGCACTGTTATATTTTGCACCCTACTCTACCTCAGTTAACAGTTAGTTGCTAGAAGTTGCCCCACCTGCACGCTCTTGTTGTTGTTGTTGTTGTTTTTGGTTGTAGCGCTTGCCATATCTCTACTAATGCATCCAGTTTTTTTGGATTTTGGGTTTTGGGTTACGGTTACATGTTGGTGCTCCTGGCTGCTAATTTTGACAAGCCCCAAATGGCTTCTGGCTCTGACGTAATGCCACCCGCCACCCTCGCGCTCTCTCTCTCTCTCTGTTTCTCTCTTTCTCTTGGAGCTCTCTCTCTCTTTTCTACTCTAAACGACCTCCAACAAACTTCGCCACAATCATTTCAGCAGCTGCCACAGTGAAGCTCCTTTCGGGGAACAGGATTCTAAAGTTCTTAGGTGTCTGAAACTTCATAGATACTTGTATTTCAATGTCCTTTTTATAAAGTTCAAAGGTCCTTCCATAGCTGGAGTTTACTGTCCTTAGCCGACATTTGTTATTTGCTGTTTTGTGAAATTTTATTGCTCCTGCTGGGGATGGGATAGGTGGGCTAGGCTAGGATAGGTGTATGGGTGGGCTGGCTCCACTGTATAACCTGTCGGCGCCATCGCCATCGCCATCTCAGCCATTTTCGTTATTCGGTTAGTCCTCCTCTGGGCCACTTCTGGATAGCGACTGCCTGGCCATCCATCCTCGTTCAGCGGCGCCTGTTTAACTTTCCTGCATATTTAATGCGTAGGTCAGTTTACCCCACAACACACACACACCTACACCCACCCACACACATACACTCTCGCTGGAAAAAAAAAAGGAAAACCGCAAGAAAAACAAAGAAAAGCTCACAAATTGCTTTTGGCGCCTTGTTGCTGTTGTTATTGTTGTCACTGTCCACTCAGGTGTTTACCAACTCCCCTCCAGCCCCCTCTCGGCGGCTCTGTTTTTATGTAACTTTCAAATCGATTGCAAACACGTAACAGTAGAGCCAACCTGCAACCCCCCCGCCCCCCTCCCATTACCATCCTACATCCTGCAACAACATTCTGACGTCCTGAACGTGTGATTTTGTTCGTTTTTTTTGCTTTTCTTTTTGGCCTGCGGCCTGGCATAGCGTGACATTTCCTTTATGTGATTTGCTGCCACGACCCCGGCTTTCCACCTGCCCCTAGGACCCTCCCCCTTCCTCTTTCAAGAACAAGAGCATTTGAATAATTTCTGTTTTTCGCAAATTTGTCTCCGAAAGGAGGGGATATCCTTGAAGGGCCAGGACAAATTGCAGTCGATAGAAGCCAGGAAGTAGTTTTGGCAACAGAGGTCTCACTGTACGACTGGGCTCCATTACCATAATTTCCTATAGGCGGGGGATATAGTACATATATTGATTCTTCAAGAGCCCCTATTCCTTTGAAGATTACAGAAGATTCAGCCTTGGAGTCGGTGGCCAGGAGTTCCTCAATTAAATAAATGCAGTTGCATATTGCACTAATATTCAGACACGTGCCCACTTGCAACACGAGGCAGGAGGCACATAGCTGAGGAATTTGCCACCATGCCGGGTTCGGGTTCGGGTTTGTTGTTGCCCGTTGACCTGCCAACGGTTGCCAAGGGCTACCTGCCAAATTGTCGATATTCCGTGTGCTCCTCCGCCGTACGGCCCGTACTTAGTCCGGAGAAAGTATTCCGGAAAGGCAGGCAGGGCACGTCCTCTGTCTCTCTCCGGCCTCTTGCTAATTTCGACTGTTCTCTGCTCTCCTCGCACCAGGACCTGGTATAGAGCCTCCTAGTGCCCTCCCCCCCCCGGACTTGCAATCGTAATTATGAATAATTCCCAATAAATGGCACACGTTGCTGCTGCTGGCCTGCAATTATTGGAATTGAAGTGCCCCAGATGTCGCTGATAAGTCGCCTGCCCCACTCTCTCTTAGGGTCAGAGGTCCTAGACTATGGTAATATAGAATATAGTAGTTATTATATCATTTCGTGCGAGGGCGAGGTGAAAAGTGCAAGCGCAACTCTATCGGCGCCCATAAATCGCCAGGCCAAAGGTCAAAGTTGAAGTCGGCCTGAAGGCTTTCGCTCCCAGGGGCATGGGCCCTTGAGGAAGTAATGCTTGGCTTTATCTACGAAAACATGCATGAATTGAGGTTCCCATCATTAAAATGTAATCAGTAATTGATTTATTACATAAGAGTTTAATTTTAAAGATTTTTTTTTATAAAAAATTCTCAAGATGGGGGGTGACTGAGGAGATATCAGTCAAGAGGGTCAGTCAGTATTCTCAGATAGACAGATAAGATAAGAAAAATACCATTATTGCCTTTTAAAAATTGTACATTTTTCATAGGCACTGCTTTTTATGGTCAAAGTTTTCTTTATTTTTCCCAAAATGTGAAAATTATGCAGAGAATACTGCAGCAGAATTGGGTAATGAACAATAAAGTACTCGAGTTACTGCCTGGCTGGGCCTCGGGAAATGTATGCTTCTCCAGCCCTGGTCTGCCATTCCGGTTCTGGCTCTCTTTTCACGCTCTCCCTCTCTTGGCTCTCGCTCTCCCCACTGGCTCATTCATCATACGCACCGTGGCCCCGGCTTGGAAAATTATTGGCTCCGAGCCTGACTGAGTTCGAGAACCTAAGACGCAAAAAGTATGAATTATACGACTAGTCATAACGAGTTTTTTGTTTGAATTTATACGGCTTGCAATTATATATTATATTCACTTCAGATACAGATATCTGTGGGGGGCTGCGTCATGGCTGTGGAGTGGGACTACGGTGATTGTGGCTTGATAACTTGGGTGACGCACTTAATCAGCTCCAAAAAGCCACATATCTTGGCCTCTGGGGGCATGTGTGATATCTGCAGGCTTCTGTTCTAGTTTGGCTCCCAGCCAGGGCACGTGGAGAGCGGTCCTCAGACCCTTGGCCCGAACTGGGTTAATGTAATGCAAGTGCTGGGGTCGGAAGGAGGGCGCTGTGGAATCTCGGTGGCCTGGCCTGCTTAGTTCGCCTTGGATTTCCACTGCAGTGGTATGGAGGGGTATCGATGCATCTCATAGAATAAATATATGTAGTTCCTAACCTGGGTAGGCTGGGTGTTGGCTTGTAGCTATGCTTCACTGTAGTTTCAGACTTCTAACAACTATATCAATTATTGTTAAGCCTCGGGACTTCCTGTGACTCATCATTGTTTTGTTTTTTGTCATTATAATTTGTTTTGTACTATTTTCTTCTTTATTTTTATATGATTTATGTTTTGTGACGTTGTGACGCTGCTGCTGCTGCTGCTGCTGCTGGTCTGCCTTTTGTAAAATGTCTGTCTGTCTGCCGGCGATGAATCAAATGCATTGTTAACTCAAAACACACAACAATCAACAATCAACAAATACAACAAAATAAAATAAATATAAAAACACGCACCACCACCACTCAGCCACCAAGCCACTTTTGCATGCACAGTGGATGTTTCAGTTTTCGGTTGCCTTTCGATCAGAACCACAGCAAGCTAAGTATTCAAATTCAAGTAAAGCCCGCCCGAGAGCTCCGATATAGCCCCCTCCGTATATATATATACGATACGTACATATTTGATAAATAAATAATATAAGAAGCATGCCACAGTCCGAGGGCGGATATGTTTCGCTGCCGGCCGTAAACGGCAACGGCACCGCCATCTACCAGTCGACCACAGAGCCCACGGCCCCGCCCTCCGTCTTCGAGAGCGTTAAGAGGGCCATTGGCCAGGCCATCAAGTCCTCTCCGGGCAGCGACGGCAGCGAGGAGCTGCTCCGCTCGGAGCGCCAGCCGGTCATCGTTGGCGGCGCCAGGTAAGTCCCACATATATCCACACACACACATCTTCCCCTCCGGCACCACCCACCACCGTCCATCGCACACCCACCCACATTACTTTGGCCATTTAAGCCGGGTGGTGTAGCCACCAGGTGAGCTCTCCGGCAATCACTCTTAATCACTCCAGTCGGTACCATAGACTCCAACCCCCTGCCCCTGATTTATAGACCCTGGAAGCATTAACCCCCAATGACTTCTACACAGGGAAATATATTTTATATCAGAGGTTATAGAAACTAGTATCTAGAATCTAGAGTATCTAGAGATTAAAATCTAAATAAAGCTTAGTTTTTGGACTTGTTTTTGTTAAAATATCACTTAAGTATCGTTAAGATTTAAATTCCCAATAGCTTTCGGGTTTTTATAGAGATATATTATATTTTAAAGCTTAGAATCATGATGTTCTAATAGTATTATATTTAAAATTGCCCATTATATCTCTGGGAATGTAACTATGATTGTTTATTAGTCTAGAATCTATAGTGTGGGTTCTTTGTCATAGGTGGATATCCTTTCTCTTAACATTCCATTTTATACATATTTTAGCTACTAATTGAAGATAGTTACGGTTCTAAACCTCTTAAGAAGTTACTAGATAGACTAGATACTAGATAGATACTCTACTAATAGAATTAGGTAGACAGGTATAGATAGATATAATAGATATATTCCTAAGAACTTTGAACGTTCTTGAAGAAAAAAAAAGTAACTTTTAAAGGACCTCATTTCAGAGTCTTTTGTATTTCTACGCTTCTACTTCTTAGTCTTCGACTTCTTCTAGAGAAGAAATATACACAGAGTGATCTTCATAAAGATTTTAACTTAAATATCTCCACTATAACTACACCTTAGACCATACCTTTTTTTAATCCATTTTTTTAAGACCTTAAAGTAAAGCTTCAAGTAAAGCCCCCTGTTCTTAAGAACTGAGGGATTAGGCCTTCTTCCAAGTCCAATTCTCGGTGTAGTTCACTTAACACGGCCAACATCAAAGCTTTCCGCTGCCTTGTGCCACCACCACCCACCAGCCGCCAGACCCACCCACACAACCCTCCCCTCCTGCTCTCCGGCTTAATTGCGATTGCATGTCTACCCCCAATGTTTGTTTTTGCTTTTCTTGCTTTTGATTGTTTGTGGTTGTTGGCATTGTTGTGGGCCTCTGTTCCAGTAACATTTCCCATATTTTTAGTTTTATTCTCTCGCTTACCTCCCTCTCCACCCCCCACCAGGCACAGTTTATATAATTTTGAAAGTACATCTTACAGCCTTGCACCTGCATCACATCGCGTCATCCATGCCAGCCTACACAGCCTCCCGTAGAGAACCACCTCGGGTAGGGTATCTCCAGAACGATCAGAAACAGAAGTCAGAAACTCGGGCCGGATATTCAACTTCTTGTAGTTTTGGGTTAGCCATGACTCAAGGTCGGGCCAAAGTTTGCAGTTTCTGCAGTTTTGTCAATACAACAAGCCCCGAGCCCCCAGAGAGCACTGCAAACAGAGCTCGGAACCGAAATTGGACGCAGAACCACCGTCACTTAGTCGGTCGCCGGCTGCGACCCACATTCGTTCTATTTGCGGACACTCTTTAAATTATTCATACTCTCGGGCATTCACGGCTGCCGGCTATCTCAAGTGGCTTTAATTAATATTTCCGCAGACACTGACATCGTTCGTAAGTGGCCCGGCTACCGGGATTTAGTCCAATTAGTCGTAGATCGTAGGCGTTACATACAAAGATGTTGTTTACTCCGCGGCCTGACTCCAGATTCTCCAGATTTCTTGTTTACTCGGCAAGTGCAATGCACTGGGTCTCCCTCTCCTCCGATTCCGATCCAGGGCGGTTCTAACCAGAGTCCGGCGTCAATACCGGTTCAAGCTGGCCTGTCATTATACCGCCTGGCACAGAAAGTAATTACCGGGTATCGTTCCAAGTAAGCAAATACGGAGCTTACACAAACATCTGATTGCCGGGAATACTCCCAAGACACTCTTCCGATTCCATTTTTAACTGAAACCTCCCGGGGAGCACATGTGCGTGTTGTTCCAGGAATGGATTATGAGGTGGATTTTAAAAAGGAAGCCTCTTAATTAGTCATATAAGTTGGTACTCTGGAGGTCAAGTTTTCATTAAGGGGTTATACCCAGTTGGTCAACCCCCAAAATCTGAATATTGAGAACCATCTTAAGGGGAGGAATTATACAGAAGAGAATGACTTAATGACTTTTCCATTCAAATCTTAAATAAAGAATTACCTGGGGTATATCTCCAAGAAGATCACCTTTAGAAAGTGTACTTCTGACATGGGAAGTCTCCCTTCGTGGGACTCTGACTAGACTAAGCATCCACCTTAATCTATATCTTCGAAAATATCCATCCTATTTAGTTGAAATTTTCTAAAAACACGCCCATATATATATAGATAATTATACAGTAAAAAGATTAGACCTACCTGCGAATAACCCCCTAAAATATCCTCCTAAAAGGTCATCTCGACTATAGTATTCCAAAGCTCTTATGCAATTACTCCCTTTGGGATGCTTGAGGACTCAATCACGTAACCAATTAAAGGTGATAATGAAAACAGCCCTGACCCTATATGGCCCAGGATAATGAACTCTCATCCCTCACCTGGGCACCTCCACACACCTCCACACAGCATTAACTAATTGAGTTCGGTCCCAGCCGTAAAAGTTTTCTGTTGGCTCTAGAGGAGCGAGGTGGTAGGACCATGGAGCCAGAGCCGTAGCCGTAGCCGGAGCCAGTGGGTAAACAAAAGTTTACCGCCTCCTGTTTCCGTTCCTTTTCCACGCTTTTCCTGTTTTATGAAGGATGTTTTTGGGGGAGGTTGGGGGGAGAAGGGAGGGAAAGTCAAATTAGTATGCCAGCTGGTCTCATTTGGATGGCTCTGGCTCTGGCTCTGGCGTGGCGCCACTTGTTTGTCGGTTGCCATTTTCATACATCGCTTACATCCATCGACATTTACCCCGAATGACATTGCGTGACTCACTCGGTTACGTTTTACGTAAGGAGCTAGGACCTTGGCCAGGACTCCCCCGCCATTTCATACATCCAGCCGGCAAAATAGCTTTATTGTAAGACTCTCTCTCATTCTTCTGTCTTCTGAACTATCTCTTCCATCGTGTCTACGTCCTGTGTTTTACGATCTTCCCCAACCCTGAAATACTCTGAAAAATAAAAATATATATATACAACACCTATACTCTGTACCTATATGTACGGTGAAAGTTTTTTGCCGATTTGGAATAGAGTCTGCCAAAAACTTGCCTCGACTTTTGTGTTCCTTTGGTTATTCTTTGCTTGCATGCTCATAGAATCTATTTCAGAGACCGCGACAAATCCGGTAAGACACTGACCACCAAGATGCCGTCAGCTCCGACACACACTGCCGAGGAGGCACACCTGCTGGGGTAAGCCACAAACCACTAGACCACAAATCTCCAAATCTCCAAATCCCAAAAAAGAACAGAAATCTTAATCAGGCCCAGGGATTCGTGTAATTAGGCCCATCCTTCAGTAAGATATGTACACACACACACACCTGGAACACCCCAACCGACACTCTCACAACACCAGTTTAGAGTTTTTTTCGTTCAGTTACCAGTTATAGTTTTGAGTTGATCATCACATAGTGTTATCTATAGCTTGTAAGTACCTTTGCCTAGACTTGAGTTCCAAACTAAACCCCCTAACAGCATCCCCTACTGTATACCTCCGAATGTTGATTGATTTGTTTGAGTTTCGTTTATGATTTGTGCATATGAGACCATGTAACACTAGACTAGTCGAGCAGCGAGACCAACTCATGCCTGATACCCCCAGTCCGATCAGTAGTTCCCCAGCCTCTCGACGAGAGGACCCCCAAGGACGCCAGAGTCTACGAACAGCTGATCTCCCACAAGATGATGATCTCCTCATCAGAAGACTGGTGCCTTACTAATCGAACTATTCTTAATCCCACAGCACCATGCCCGTAGATCCCATGGACGATATCGAACTGCGCTCCGTGCAGCTGCAGTTCCCCAACGCCCGGGGCTCCATCCTGGAGGCCTGCGAACAGCGCCGCGTGCCCACAGACAAGGGCGACGTCCATGTGGCCATACAGGGCGATACGGCCAAGCCGGCCATCGTCACCTACCACGATCTGGGCCTCAACTGTAAGTCCAGTCGGATAGCCAGAGGAGTCTTTTTTAAATGTGTCCTTTTCAGATGCCACCAGCTTCGCTGGCTTCTTCAACTTCCCGGTGATGCGGGGCCTGCTGGAGAACTTTTGCGTTTACCATGTGACCGCTCCTGGGCAGGAGGAAGGAGCCCCAACCTTGCCAGAAGAGTAAGATCTTGTCTTACAGATGTATAGCTATCTTCTAACCCTCAACATCTGCTCCACAGTTACACCTATCCAAGCATGGACGAACTGGCCGCCCAGTTGCTGTTCGTGCTCTCCCACTTTGGCCTGAAGTCGGTGATTGGTTTCGGGGTCGGGGCCGGGGCGAATATTCTGGCCCGTTTCGCCCACGCCCATCCGGACAAGGTGGGCGCCCTGTGCCTGATCAACTGCGTCTCCACGCAGTCGGGCTGGATCGAGTGGGGCTACCAGAGCTTCAACGCCCGCTTCTTGCGCACCAAGGGCATGACACAGGGCGTCATCGATTACCTGATGTGGCACCACTTCGGGCGCAATCCCGAGGAGCGCAACCACGACCTGGTGCAGATGTACAAGCAGCACTTCGAGCGCGGCGTCAATCCGACCAATCTGGCGATGCTGATCAACGCGTACATTCATCGCAACGACCTGCACCTGGCCCGCACTCCGCCAGGAACCCCCGGCACCGAAGCGGCGGCCACCACCCTGAAGATGCCGGTGATTAACATCACGGGATCGTTGTCGCCGCACGTTGATGACACGGTCACCTTCAACGGTCGTCTGGACCCCACAAACTCATCCTGGATGAAGGTTTCTAAAGAGCTACCTCTTGCGTGGTCAAGGGATCTTCGTATCCTTCAAGTACTAACCTATTTCCACCTTCTCTCAACAGATTTCCGATTGCTCTTTGGTGCTGGAGGAGCAGCCGGCCAAGCTGGCCGAAGCCTTCCGGCTCTTCTTGCAGGGCGAGGGCTACGGTAAGTGTTAGAACACCGCACACACCACTGATACCACCACCACCACCACCACCACCACCTCCAACCAACCACCAAGAACAACAACAACAACTGCTACAACTGAACAACCTCAGCAATCTCTGCTACAATCTCAACAATCTACTGAACCCACTCTATCTAATCCAACTCCCTCTACTAACCCCTACTATTACTACTACTATTTCTACTACTCCTACTACTACTTCCTTAAGAACTACTATTTTAACCCGCCTATCTTAGCCAAGTACTTCATACCCAGCAAGTGGGACAGTGAGAAGAATAGCACTTTCATCTAGAAGAGATCGAAAGAAGATCCCTCCCCGTCCTAGTTTCAGTTCAGTTCAGTTCCCCGGGAGCTGCTCCCACCCTAGCCTAGCCTAGCCCCCCAGACACGCACACACTCCCCAACCCGATCTTAGCTTTTACTGAAGACTCTTTGAGAATCAAAAGCTTTTTGAGATGCAATGAAACGAAACCAAAAACTGACATTGATTGTGCAAAATTATTATATTTTTCCATCGGATATAATTTTAGAAAAGAAAAAACCAAAATTTGAATTGAAAAACCACCCCCTATGTTGATAAACCAAAAGTATTTGTACGCCAAGTATTTCAAAATAAAAAAATCGAAAAGTTGTTGAAAATCAAGCGTTTACTTTCTATACACACAGATACACACACACACATATATATACTATACCATTCCGATTCCCATAAACCCCTCTAGTTAGGACCCCCGATAAGGAATGATACACAGACCCAGTTACCAAATATGCATTTTCGCATCCACGACAACAACAAAACAAGAAAAGATATTTCAAGATGTTCATTACTTTGTTTTTTCATTTCTTTTTCCTTTCTCCAAAACTGCTTGTTTTTGCTAAAACCAACATACAAAATATATATATATATATATCTGAACTATACGATAACCAACCGAACAACATGCAACACAAATCAAAATGAAATACGAACACGAATATATATCCGCCACACGAAATTGCAACTCGAATCGATGAATCGAATCGCCGCCCGCATCCCATACCACCCATTATCTTTGCACACGCGACCTTTCATAACCGATTTCACGGTCAACTCTCGACTCACCTTCGACCTGGTCCCGGCTGCATTCACCTACGACTCCTCTTCTGTTCGATTCTATTCTAATTCTCGTTTTCTTTTTAAAAACATTGGTTTCCAATCCCACCCCTCGAATAAAATAAACTCAACAAATAATCGCTAACAAATGCGATCTCTATATAACTGCGCGATCTCTATATAATTTCAATCGACAACAATCGAACAAAATATAACAAAACTATATAATCGTGTAAATGGTATGTATATTTGTACAAAACACTCGCCCACCTGTGATTCTGTAGTGTCCGAGAAACCTCAGTAGGAAGATCCGCCACCCAAAGCACACCATATAGTAAAAATACCCATAAAAAGTTGACAAAAAAACCAAGAAAAAACTGAAATCTAGTTGGAATGCATTTAGCTAATTAATTAATACAATAATTGAAACCTAACATTCGTATATACCGTTATATAGACAAAGTAGAACTTAGATAAAGACACTCACACTTACACACACAAAGCTGGTGAAGGAACTTTTGGATTTTTGAGGTTATGCTTTGAATTTCGAACAAGAATGAGCATGAATCTTAAGCCTTCAAAAGTCCCTTCTAAAAAGCTAATGCTTGCCTATACACATAGTTTGCTTTTAAGTACAGTGTTACCTCAGTAGCTGGGCACTTGATGCGCTTTCACTTTCCGACGCTATTTAATTTTCTAATCCCCCCAACCCACCTCCCACACCAAAGACACCATTTCTCCTGAACAACAAAAAAAATGTTTAATTTATTTGATGTTTTATTTGATTTATTTATTTACACGCCAATTGACAAACAAAATACAACAAAAACAACATCAACCACAAACAAATTGTTACAAAAAAACCTCCCGACAAAAAATGAAACCAAAAGCTGTCGGCACACTTCAAAAGTTGGCGCGCAAAATCTCAATGGCCAGTCGGAGCAGTTCCACGCAAATTGAGCTCAGCGTGCAGTGAGCCCGGGCAGGGTCCTTGGGCGATTGGAGAGAGCAACACAACCGTACAGCAGCGGTATAGCAGCACAGCCCCCCACACTGGTGCGAGACAGCCAGACAGAGAGAGAGAGCGCAATTGGATTATCACCAACACCCCACGACAAAAATTCACCAATAAATACCGTTACAACAACCATTACCCGAAAGGATTCAATGTAGCAACAAGTTGGGCGCTTTGTGGCACTTTCTTGCTTCGGTTCTTCGCTTCTGTGATTTCCATTGAAATTTGTTTCGTTGCTCCTTTTGTTTATTTTTAATCATTATTTTTTTGTAATTAATACGAGCTTTAGTTGGTAAGCCAAGGTAAACAGCAAAAAGCAACATGTTTTGATTTTAGACTTTCATTTCATTTGTTGTCTACATGCATATTATAAATAATGAACGCATTGCGTAAATATATGTATTTTTTACATAATTATCTTATGTGTTATCCTTGTCCCACCTGTTCACCTTGTTCACCTGCCGCCAACTGTTGGGCTGTAATTGCGAGAACCTCGCTGCTTTCACCCACACAAAGAAAACATAATAACATTCACATACAACGCAGCTTAAATGTATGGAAGCAATAAGTTTATTCACACTTTATACAAATATACATACAATACATGACAACGCTATTATATACAAGAAATTACATACACTAATCATACGCAATTAAAACAAAAACCAACAAAAAAAATATTAAAAACAAGAAAATTGGAAAGTGTAAGCTTTTGTTGTATATTTGAGAATTCTAAATAAACGGAAAACGTAAATTTTCGAAATTTAACGGTACGGATAACGGTTCAGAGGGAACGGAACGGAACTAGTTGCGCGGTTGTCGCGTCGTCTCTTCTTTCCAGCATTCCAACAAACATCAGCAAAAGGTGGCGCCACATCAACATCAACCGCATGCCCCCATGCAGCTCCATCGATCATCGAATTCAGCTTCCTTCCTCTTCCCCTCCATCTCGTCCATCAACTATCAGCCAGACCAACAATATAACAATATAAACAATAAATTATTAACAAAGCAGCTGCAGACTGTCGCCGCTTTCATTCTCCAGTCATGCAAAATGCACCACACAACAAATACATTTAGAAATACTGGCAAGTCTCTGTGGTTTAAATATTGAATATTTTTTAAAGAAATTAATATTTATTTATTTAAATTTAGGATGAAAGTTAAAAACAAAGAGTTAGATATGGATGAGAAGGACTTTTCGTTATTACAGCTTCCTTAAACGATTGTTTCTATTAAAAATAGTTTTTGAAAAACACAATCCTTTAGAAATTGAGCTTTTTTTAAGACTTGAATCTATTTTAATATCAATCTAAGCTATGAGTTTCTTTTAGAGTTTTTAAAGATATTAAATTTTAAATTCCCAAAAAAGTTATTCCTGAAAAAGGGACTTGATATACTGTTATTTAAACCATAGTTATGAGCCACAACCATCAACACTCCACACACACAAAACATGAACATTTCAAACGAAAACAGCAGCCAAGCCTTTAGAAAGTGTATAAAAGAAAACATTACATGTTCAAAAGTAACATAACGTGAATAACAAAAGCCAAACTACTACTACCTTCCCCCCTACCAACAACAACAACAACAACCACCACTTCTATAAAAAAAAAAAACTGCCACAGCAACACCGCTGTCAACGCCAGCGAGTTCGCCCTGTGGCACCAAGTACCACACCTACTCGTCGATCTTCTTCGCCAACTTCCGGGAGCAGCAGCAGCAGGCGATGGAGGAGCGCGAGCGGGAAAGGGAGCGGGAACGGGATCGGCAGCGGCAGCTGAGCCTGCGGGTGGGCAACCGCCTGCGGGAGACGGCCATCAACTGCACCGGCGGTGGCCAGGGCGACAATAACAACGCCGAGGATCAGGAGTTGGACGAGGAGCTGGACCTGGAGAACGGTAATGGATCCGGTAATGGCAATCGTGCCTATGTGACCACGGATACATCCGGCACCCTGTACTACGGCACCCAGAGCAACAAGATTCGGATCACCGAGAACCCACTGCCCGAGCCGGTCAGCTCTTAGATTGTTGCAGCCACATAGCCCAAAGAGACACCTTGTTATAAATATTGTTGTTACCACACACTGACGAATATATAAAGCAGAAGCAGCAGCATCAGCAGCCGCCGCCCGCAGCAGCAGCCAAGCCAAGTCAAGCCAAGCTTTCAGCCGTGCTCCAAGAGACACAACAAACAATAAGACACACTGTACACCATACACCATACACCATATACCATAATACCACTGCTACTAGAAATGAATGCAATAATTAACCACCAAGAATATGAGAATCCTTTGATTGATTGTGTTTTCCTATGGTTTTCGAGAGACGCGGAGGAGAGATATTTGTAATTTACACTTTGTGCCTGAGCGTAACGTAACGAACACAAAACATAGTATGATATATCGAGCAGAGATCGTATCAGATCAGCAGCAGACCCTTAGTTATCTCTATTGTCGGTATTTTTTTGTCGAGTGCAACACATATTTTATGACGAGCTTGCTTAGTTGTTGTGAAACGATCGGATATACAAAGATATATATTTAAATATATATATTCAGATGTGTATACAAAACACAACACGAAACCGAAACTCAAAGATTACGAGCATTTCTGCTTAATGTTAAAAACCAACAAAAAATCCAACTGTTAACTTAATCCCAAAAGTATAACGAAATCTAAAAAAAATGTAGCATATCAAATAATAACGAAAAAATCTTTCAAAATTACGTATATAATTATACACAGAGAAAAATATATAAGATGAGAACCTAGATAAATCGTAGACTATTGCGAATTGCGAATAATTCCAACCGAAATTCAGTTCACAATGAATGGAAGAATAATTCCCTAGACACTGTCACACGACAAAATAACACACACACACGATATGAATATAGAATACATACATATATACTATCTATAAATAATGACAACTTTTTGCAATAACTTCGAATTCAATTCAATAAAAGTTTTAGAAGCTTGAGTCGGGAGCGCCTTTTATTACTTGGGGGGCAGTAGTTCCTCTATCCGGCGAAGGGTCTCCTCACGGTCGCGGCGCATCAGCTCGGACACTTGTTCCAGAAACTCCTGTTGCTGGGCGCGCTGTTGCCGCAGGAAGCTCTCGTTGGAGGACTTGATCAGGTTCAACAGTTGCTTCTGACCCTCCATGATGGTAGTAATGGCCTCCATTGGCGTGGGCTGCCCGCCTTCCACGGCGTCTAATCCGTCTTCGAAATCTTCGCTTTCGCCTGCAGCCCTCAGAAGATCACAGGTAGAGCTGGATTCATCACTGTCCGTCTCGGGCGGTGCCTTCGACCTGGATGGCTTCGAAGAGAATGTTTTTATTGGACGGTTGGGTCTTTGGGTGGCACTCTTTGGGGTTTCATGCGGCGTCTTGATAAGCTCGTCGAAAAGTTCAAAGTGGCGGGGCAGGATGCGCACGTTCTCCAAGCCATGCTCCTTGGCCTCCCGATGCCGCTTGAGCAGCATTCTCAGTTTGTTTCGCAGCTGGTGTGGTGTTCGTTTGAAGGATTGCTTGGCCAGGATATTGGAGATGTGCACCAGAGTCTGAAAGTTTCGTTTCCTCGAGCCATCCAAGGCCCGAAAGAAGCCGTTGTCCCTGATAACCAAAAGAAAGGCATCCACCTCCTCGTCCGACCAAAAGTGAGCTGTTGCCAAAAGAGAAAGCATATTCAATAGCTTCATTAAGATTTATGGTTATTTCTTACCTCCTCTCTGCGAGGGATCTCCATCATCGTCCTCACTATCATTAAATTCGGTTTCACTGGCAGAACTCAAATTCGCATCCGCGTCGCCAACGGCAGCTTCTTCAGGCGTGGGGTCCAGCACTTGACGCATGGCCTCGAAGTGCTCAAAGGTCTCGCCGGTTCCATTCTTCACCTTGTTGTACATTCGCCGCAAGAGCTGGAACTTGATCCGCAGCTTGTCGGGGCCCTTGTTGCAGTTTCGCTTGGCCATTTCCTTGGCCAGCGCCCTAAACACTTTGGCATTTCGCTTGCTCAGTAGGGCTCTGCGCAGGCCCATTGTAATGATCAGGTCGAGCAGCATGTCCACCTCGCCCTCGGTCCACTTGCAGCGGGCATTCACGTGCATTGTAGAGGAAGAGGCATCTAAGGTGTCTAAAATGAAATGGAATTAATGAAGACAGTTCTTTTCATTCCCTTGCAGAGAGTGTTATAATTTTGGTCAAAAGTTTGCAACGCAGTGAAGGTTTCAACTCCTGTAGGGGGAAACCAATTTTCAAGGGGTCCCATCACGAAATGGACAAAAAATCTAAAAAATATTTTGTCCCAGGATTTTGATGCAGAATTGCGGAGAATCAATCCAGAAATCGTTTAAGGTACTCCGCTTGAGAATCTGATGAGAATTGGAGAAGATATGGGCATCACAGGGGACTCTATAGGGGAAAACCCCATTTTCAAGGGGTCCCATCAGGAAAAATGGACAAAAAATTTAAAAAATATTTTGCCTCAGGATTTTAATGCAGAATGATGGAGAATCGGTCCAGAAATCGTTTAAGGTACTCCGCTTGAGAATCTGATGAGAATTGGAGAAGATATGGGCATCACAGGGGACTCTATAGGGGAAAACCCCATTTTCAAGGGGTCCCATCAGGAAAAATGGACAAAAAATCGAAAAAATATTTTGTCTCAGGATTTCAATGCAGAATGGTGGAGAATCGGTCCAGAAATCGTTTAAGGTACTCCGCTTGAGAATCTGATGAGAATTGGAGAAGATATGGGCATCACAGTGGACCCTATAGGGGAAAACCCCATTTTCAAGGGGTCCCATCAGGAAAAATGGACAAAAAATCGAAAAAATATTTTGTCTCAGGATTTTGATGCAGAATGGTGGAGAATCGGACCAGAAATCGTTTAAGGTACTCCGCTTGAGAATCTGATGAGAATTGGAGAAGATATGGGCATCACAGTGGACCCTATAGGGGAAAACCCCATTTTCAAGGGGTCCCATCAGGAAAAATGGACAAAAAATCGAAAAAATATTTTGCCTCAGGATTTTGATGCAGAATGGTGGAGAATCGGACCAGAAATCGTTTAAGGTACTCCTCTTGAGAATCTGATGAGAATTGGAGAAGATATGGGCATCACAGTGGACTCTATAGGGGAAAACCCCATTTTCAAGGGGTCCCATCAGGAAAAATGGACAAAAAATCGAAAAAATATTTTGTCTCAGGATTTCAATGCAGAATGGTGGAGAATCGGTCCAGAAATCGTTTAAGGTACTCCGCTTGAGAATCTGATGAGAATTGGAGAAGATATGGGCATCACAGTGGACTCTATAGGGGAAAACCCCATTTTCAAGGGGTCCCATCAGGAAAAATGGACAAAAAATTTAAAAAATATTTTGCCTCAGGATTTTAATGCAGAATGATGGAGAATCGGTCCAGAAATCGTTTAAGGTACTCCGCTTGAGAATCTGATGAGAATTGGAGAAGATATGGGCATCACAGGGGACTCTATAGGGGAAAACCCCATTTTCAAGGGGTCCCATCAGGAAAAATGGACAAAAAATCGAAAAAATATTTTGTCTCAGGATTTCAATGCAGAATGGTGGAGAATCGGTCCAGAAATCGTTTAAGGTACTCCGCTTGAGAATCTGATGAGAATTGGAGAAGATATGGGCATCACAGTGGACTCTATAGGGGAAAACCCCATTTTCAAGGGGTCCCATCAGGAAAAATGGACAAAAAATCGAAAAAATATTTTGTCCCAGGATTTTGATGCAGAATTGCGGAGAATCGATCCAGAAATCGTTTAAGGTACTCCGCTTGAGAATCTGATGAGAATTGGAGAAGATATGGGCATCACAGGGGACTCTATAGGGGAAAACCCCATTTTCAAGGGGTCCCATCAGGAAAAATGGACAAAAAATTTAAAAAATATTTTGCCTCAGGATTTTAATGCAGAATGATGGAGAATCGGTCCAGAAATCGTTTAAGGTACTCCGCTTGAGAATCTGATGAGAATTGGAGAAGATATGGGCATCACAGGGGACTCTATAGGGGAAAACCCCATTTTCAAGGGGTCCCATCAGGAAAAATGGACAAAAAATCGAAAAAATATTTTGTCTCAGGATTTCAATGCAGAATGGTGGAGAATCGGTCCAGAAATCGTTTAAGGTACTCCGCTTGAGAATCTGATGAGAATTGGAGAAGATATGGGCATCACAGTGGACTCTATAGGGGAAAACCCCATTTTCAAGGGGTCCCATCAGGAAAAATGGACAAAAAATCGAAAAAATATTTTGCCTCAGGATTTTAATGCAGAATGATGGAGAATCGGCCCCGAAATCGTTTAAGGTACTCCGCTTGAGAATCTGATGAGAATTGGAGAAGATATGGGCATCACAGTGGACCCTATAGGGGAAAACCCCATTTTCAAGGGGTCCCATCAGGAAAAATGGACAAAAAATCGAAAAAATATTTTGCCTCAGGATTTTGATGCAGAATGGTGGAGAATCGGACCAGAAATCGTTTAAGGTACTCCTCTTGAGAATCTGATGAGAATTGGAGAAGATATGGGCATCACAGTGGACTCTATAGGGGAAAACCCCATTTTCAAGGGGTCCCATCAGGAAAAATGGACAAAAAATCGAAAAAATATTTTGTCTCAGGATTTCAATGCAGAATGGTGGAGAATCGGTCCAGAAATCGTTTAAGGTACTCCGCTTGAGAATCTGATGAGAATTGGAGAAGATATGGGCATCACAGTGGACCCTATAGGGGAAAACCCCATTTTCAAGGGGTCCCATCAGGAAAAATGGACAAAAAATCTAAAAAATATTTTGCCTCAGGATTTTGATGCAGAATGGTGGAGAATCGGACCAGAAATCGTTTAAGGTACTCCGCTTGAGAATCTGATGAGAATTGGAGAAGATATGGGCATCACAGTGGACTCTATAGGGCAAAACCCCATTTTCAAGGGGTCCCATCAGGAAAAATGGACAAAAAATCGAAAAAATATTTTGCCTCAGGATTTTGATGCAGAATGGTGGAGAATCGGCCCAGAAATCGTTTAAGGTACTCCGCTTGAGAATCTGATGAGAATTGGAGAAGATATGGGCATCACAGTGGACCCTATAGGGGAAAACCCCATTTTCAAGGGGTCCCATCAGAAAAAATGGACAAAAAATCGAAAAAATATTTTGTCTCAGGATTTTGATGCAGAATGGTGGAGAATCGGACCAGAAATCGTTTAAGGTACTCCGCTTGAGAATCTGATAAGAATTGGAGAAGATATGGGCATCACAGTGGACCCTATAGGGCAAAACCCCATTTTCAAGGGACCCTATAGCGAAAAATGGACAAAAAATCTAAAAAATATTTTGTCTCAGGATTTTGATGCAGAATTGCGGAGAATCGATCCAGAAATCGTTTAAGGTACTCCGCTTGAGAATCTGATGAGAATTGGAGAAGATATGGGCATCACAGTGGACCCTATAGGGGAAAACCCCATTTTCAAGGGATCCCATCAGAAAAATGGACAAAAAATCTAAAAAATATTTTGTCTCAGGATTTTGATGCAGAATGGTGGCAAATCGGTCAAGAAATCGTTTAAGGTACTCCGCTTGAGAATCGGATGAGAATTGGGGAAGATAGGTCCATCCCAGTGGACCCTATAGGGAAAACCCCCATATCCCATTAAATACGTACCATCTCCTTCAGTTTCAGAGCCTAGGCCGGCCATGTCCTCGTCCATCTCTGCCTCGCTGTCACTGTCCGGCTCTGGCTCCAGGTCTGAAGCTCCACTGGCCTGGAACAATTCGTGCAGGGCCTCAAAGTGCTCAAAGGGTTCACCACCGTTCCTGGCCCTCACAAATTGTTTTCTCAACTGGTGGTATTTGGTTTGGAGCTGCTGGGCGCTCTTGGAGCAGCCTTTTTTGCCCATTTCCTTGGCAATCACCTTGAAAACCTTCGAATTACGTTTTCCATGCAATTGACTCTGCAACTTGAGTTCATAGATGACGCCCAGAAAGAGTTCCAACTCCTCGTTCTTCCATTGGCGTTTATCGGTGCTGCTCTCCAAGGCGGACTGGCTGGCGCCGCCAAAATCTGTTGATTTGAAAAAGAAAGAAGTTTATTGTTCTGCCAACATTTATACCAAGGATCACCTACAATCTGAGTTCAGCAGGTGGGCGTACTTCTGTTCGTCTTCCTCGTTCTCATTAAAGGCGCACGCTTCGTTCATGGTTTATGGCGTCCACCTGTTATTGAGGTGGTAAAGTGTTGATCTAACAAGTTAAATACTGTTTTCAGATAATAAACAAAGTAGAAATTGACAAAAACAATCCAACCGGCGATGGCCTAATAGAGATGTGAGTATCTAAGGGTTGCTGCACCTGTTAGACTATCGGAAGGTATATCGATAAATTCCAGATACTGCACTCGATACAATTTTTAAATTTCGATTTTTCCCGCCAGGTTCGATTCAAACCAAAAATGGTTCCTGTGTTGGAAAACGTCAAAAAATGGAAATTGCTCTGTTATTTTACAGTATCTGTAATAGTTTCTGTAGATGAACAAATCGTATCTGTAAGTTATTTTCAAACGCGCGCTCTTAGAGGAAACATCGGAACCACGGTGTGAAAATATTCTACAAATATTTTTACGTGATTACCCGTGGCTCAAAGGAAACTTATTTCCAAATCGAAATCCAAAAATCTCGAAAAATATCTTGGTGATATTTCGGTCGTCACTTCGTCAGAGAAATAACGCTCGACCGATCGCGTACTTCGATTCAAAATTCCCGATCAAGTGCAAAAGCAAGCCAACAAAAGCAAAATACCCATTAATATTTCGCACAGCTGCGAATTAACAAAAATCGAAATAAAAGAGGAATCACAATTGTTTATAATATTGTAAGCCCAAAGCAGAGCTTTTCGGCCAACTGGCAGTTGGGTTGTGTGCGTGAGTGTAAGTGATCGCCCAGTTTGCTTTTTCGCTGGATTTTCGCCACAAATCGTTGCTGTTGTTGTAACGGCCTCGTCTGCCGCGTTCTCGCCCCCGCCCGATATCTGTTTCGGTTTTTTATTTTTGCCACATTACAAATAATTGCACGATACTTGGTATTCGCGAAACGAAAAAAGAATCACCGGCTGAAATAGATTGAATCGCACCCATACCAATACGTTATTACGCGCCGGCCAAAGTCTGGCTTTCCGAGAGATGGGGCAAGGAGGAGCGCCAGCCACGCTTGACTAGGCACCCCACCACCCATTGGCGCAGCACCCCCCTTACAATCGTCTTTGAAATAAACAAACAAATCCGATTCGGACTCGGATTCGGATACGGATCCGTATAGTTTATCGCGTGTTTATCCAGTTGGTGGAATATAAGCAAAATAAGAATATCATACGGATTTTGAATAGAGGATCCATCATCATGAGGATATCAGGCGGAGGACTGCGGAGCATCGACTCCATTTGGCTGATCCTCGGCTGCTTGGCAGCTGTCACCACCGCATCGGTCAGCAATTCCGGCTATGTGGATCATGGCGATATGAAAGGTAAGCTGTTTCCACATACAGTCGAGCTTCTGTAACTTGAATCGCCAACTGGCTATAAAAAAAATTATATATAAAATAATTATATGGAAATATGGTTGTTATATAGTGGCTGAAGACGTTGACGTTATTCACCTTTTTATTAAATTTTAATATTTATTTCTAGCACAGCCACAAAATAAACACATTATATAGTCATTATCAGAGTACAATTCTCCATTTAATCTTTGACTTTTAATTCTCAGCGAAATAATTTATAATAAATCTTATATAAATCGCAATAGAATTCTAAGAAATTTCCCATTTGGAACTTAAATATTGTTTTGAAAAGGTTTAATCAGCATTTTAGGGTTCATGGAATTCGCTTATTATTAGATATTACCAAAAATGAATACCTCCAAGTTAAGAAAAAAAAAACACAATTTAAAATTCGCAATAAACTTATCTTTGGGAATTTCCACTGTACGCAGAATACTGGAACAATAAACTGTGCCAAGTTCTGTGCGTATCAGCGTGAGATACCGAGTATCTATATCAGCAATAGGCCAAAAGATACAAAAACCACGATACATCATAGTGGCAAGGTGCTCTCTGCCAAGAATCTCATCGTTCATGGGTGCACTGACAAAAGGTCCCCCCGAAACAAAAAGATCGCCCATTGCAGGGGTGGCTCTGATAAAAGGGATTCTCGATTCATTCAGTCTCGGATTCGTACCGAATGGAGGAAGTGAATAGTGCTATCTGTATCTCTCGGATCCCTTTGCTTATCGTGCATCTGTTGCCCAGTCTGAAGAAGAAGAATCGCAGCATCGTCTTCGTTCTGGTTTTAAGGGAACAACAACAGGTTTCCCGGCCAGCGTGATTTCCCATGAGCAGCAGTGCAAACACACACACACCTTTACTATTTCTACCTGTTGGCGGGGGCTGTGTGTGTTTGTGAGTTACCTGGGCCAGGTAGCGGCCTCTGGGCCCATTAAGCATCTCGAAATATGAATGAAGTACAGATAGCCTCGTTAAAAAGGACAACAAAAGGGCGGTACACAGGAAGAAATATGTATATTTTTTATAATATTTTTTTATAGGGAATAAACAATATTTTTATAGTTTAAGTCTTAAATATTTTCTGTAAGTTTTCTGTTAAAGTTAATCTAAGGCTTTCCCTCTTCTTTGTAATTGTTTTCTGTCGGCTTTTGAATCTTTGATCTTATTTCTTGCCGTGTAGGGACACGCTGCAGCAGTGTTTATTCAAATCTCTCAGTTCTATTGGCCATTTGCATGGACAGCCAGCCGCCAGAGCTCCTCTTTGGAGACCCACCCGACCCCCGTGGCCCTTTCCTGTTGACGTTGCAGAAACCAGTTTGGCTCTTTAGTGGCTAGTGGCTTTGTGTGTATTTTTTTTTACGTCTTTCTTGCAAAAACAAACCCACATGCATGTCTATCCCCGCCACAGCCCGCCTCCTTCTCATCTCTTGCGACCGACTTACCGGGCTCTCCTCAGTCTTTCTGGTTTTGTTGTTGAGTTTTGTATTTTTTGTTGTTTTTGCCAAGACTTCCTACCACCTGCTCCCCCTCTGCCCGCCCTGATCTCGGCCTGGCTTTGTCTTTCTTTTCATTTTTGTTGTCTTTTTTTTCGCCAACTCTGTACGCATCTGAACCGTGAGATTTTATTTCATGCAAAAAAGTAAAAAAATAAGAGCCACCAAGCAGAGGCATTGCTAAAAAAGTAGAAGTACTCGGTTGCGCATGCGCAACACCGACAGAGAGGCCAGAGAACGAGTTAAAGCGAGAGTAAGACAGAGGCAGAGACAGAGAAAGAGAACCGACCTGTGCAGGTGTTTTGCTTAAACTTGGAACAAGGAAACCAGCTTATAAATTATAAGTTTGGCTCATTGCAGTTGCGGCCTTCTTGTCTTTGGTAATGTGCAGTTTATGTTTCGCTCGTTATGGCCTGAAATGATTCCAATCCCCCTTAAAAAAGGTCACAGGTTGCTTTTTTGGCAAACAAATAAATCAAATATGCCTCAAGATGTGTATAGTTATTGAAGTTTGAGGTATGTTCTTGTAAAATACATCACGTTTTCAAGGAAAAAATAGTCATAAAACCACTGCCTTCAAGCCTAATCTTTCCGATGACTGATTTGGCTTAAATGGAGTTTTAATCAGCCTTGATCTTAGCCTAGTCAGAGAAGTCAAAACCAAGAGTGTATCTTTTATTTCGACTTCAGATCTGTGATCTCAACTGGTTCAGTCCTGTGGGAATTGTGCAAAAATCCAGCAGAGCTGCCCATACATTAGCATAAGTAATGGGCTTGTAAGATCCATTGGGGCTGTAAACTTGTACATATTACGGCCACGATACGATCAATGACATGGCCCTGAGAGTGGTTCACCTTAAATTTGATAAAATACACACAATAAAGCGAAATCAGGTACGATCGGGGTACAGTAATTTTTTTGTTTATTCGAGTGCATCACTTTTGCTTTCGATAAGCGATAAGAGCCTTATCACAAGTAAGCCAACCCATAAAGAGTGAATAATTACTAACCGTATACCGTTGAAATTAGAGAGAAACCCGATGACTGGACGCCGTCTAGGGTACTCAGTTAATACTCCAAAAAACACATTAGATTGAGGACTTCTTAAGCGATGTTCTTTTCCAGCGAAACAGGAACTGGCTAAGTGGCCCGTCGAGTAGTCGGCCAGGCGAGGATCAGGACATTTCGGTTGTCAAGCCGAAAGTCGAGTCGAGTGTCGGGATTCTTAAAAAAATATTCAATATTTCAGAGTCTCTGAGGCAGGTAGCGCTCTACCCGCCTACGTTTCAGGTTCGCTGCTTGCTTTCTCCTTCGAGGATATCAGATTTCATAAAGGACATGGCCATATTTGCTCGAGTGCCTGTTCCGTCCCGGCACAGCCAGGATGCACAGCCAGAAAAGTTCCCATGTCCTTTTAGCTGGAAAAAGCATGTCTGAGTTCCAATGGAAAACCACTTGAGTTGGGCAGCAGCATGCGTGCCGCATGTATTTAATTACGATAGGGCCAAGCGCCCACTTGAGAGCCACCAGCAGCATTTCCATGCTCCCGTTTGAAATGCATTGTATCTTTCAGATACATTTTGTGCCTTTTGTTTCTGTTCGGGACACTCCAATTCCGGGATTCTCACGTATCTCGGCACAGAAGAACAAGAGCCATAGTATGCCGTGGGCGGGGGCATGAGGCCTGGTAATCATAAATAATAATCAATTTCCTGTATCCAAAATGTTTCCCATCGCTCCACAGCATTTCCACATTTCCATTTTCCAGCTGGGGCCAATGCAACTGCAACTTTTCCGAATCTGGTGAGAAAATTGAAATAAAATCTGACAGCACAATGCGAGGGGGCCGCAGAACCAAACAAAAACCCAAAAAAAAAGCCCACAAAAAGTAGAATCCAAAGGTGAGGGGCGGCAGGCTGATTGTTTCAAATTTATTTATTGTTTGCCGTTTTTTCTCGTTTTATTGTTGATCTACCATTCGGTTGTTGAACATTTGTGCACATTTGTTTGCCTCATTTGCATCCAACAGCCCCCAGTCCCCACCCGGCTGACCCCCGAAACCGGAGGCTGCCAATGGGGAGCGTTCTTCAGAACGCTGGAGAGTAGATGCTTCGGCTAGCCGGGCGCTTCGGCTCGCATCGCTCGTTCCGTGGCGTTCGGAGGTTAAGTGTTGGCCCAATCAACGGCCACGCCAGCCTGCCCCATTTGCTGCCCATGACGCATGCGCCCTCGATGGGTTAACGATGCCATCGGATGCAATCGGGGGCATACTGACTCAGTCGATGGAGGGAATTAAATGAATAATTTTAGGG